TAGAAATCATTTCTCCCCATGGCTCAAATCTTCCTTCCTTTACACAGGTCTAATATACTCTTTATTGGAATAGTTGAGGGTGCATTTGTCATGGACATCTAACTAATGAATGCCTTGCCTTCCTAGGAGACTTTCCTTCTTTGATGACATTCAGAAGCATTCCTTGCCCCAAGAGTGTGTAGGTAAAAACATAAAGAAAAGTGAAATCGAGATTTAACTCCACCTTCTTTGACTCTTCCATCTCTATAAACTTAAAATCTGAGGATCCTTGTTTTTCTAGACTTCCAAAGATAAGTCTCCTAAAGGTTTTGTTGATGATAGCCTCCCACTTCACAATATCCAGGTCTGCTGAGAGGCCTCCATTTTCCTCCAAAAACATTCCATTTGTGGAATTATTGTAATACTGAAAGTTTTGAAGAAAAAAATGGAGCTGGAATGGGAAAAAAACCGGCTATGTTTAGTCAGGACATTCCAAATTCAATGGCTCACTCTAACCTTAACCTACTAACTTACCTTTCAAATTTATATGATCTGGACAAACTGTGAGATATGACTGAGAGAAATTGGATAGGCTTCAAGAGGGTGTTACCCAAATCCACAAAATAGTAGTACTTCTGGATTCCCTGTGGTATCTGTTTCTTGACTGGCCTAACTGAAACATCTGAGATAATATTTAATATCAAGGCAGAGTTTTTTTCTCACCTCCTCTCCTTCTATCTGTGGACTATATCATCTCTTCTCCATGTCTCTTTGTTATGGTTCCCTTCCTACTTGCCTTCCTTTTCTCTTTCCTACCTACCTACCTACCAGAATAACAGTTGGAAGGAACCTTGGAGGTCGTCTAGTCCAGAGCTGTCAAACTCGTTGCTTCACATGACATGTCACAACGTATCGCAACTTTTTTTTCCCTTGCCAGAGCTGGGGATGAAGGAGTTGTGCTGAAACTTAGTGGTTGAAAGAAAACCTTCACTGCAGACACTATGACACCAATGAAAAGCTCTCCTGGCCTATAATGGTTCTCTGGCTCCAACTTTTCCTTCTTTGGACTCAGGAGGTTTTTGAGATCGAGCCTCCTATGGACTGCCTGGGGCCCCTGAAGCAGGATGAGAAGTAACATGACAAGTAGTGCTAATGGAGCCTCCAGTTCTGTGTTTACTTTGAACAAACCATAAGAAGAGGTGGAAGAAAGCAAAGCTTTAGGGACCTTCCTAATACAGAATCCAGCCGAGTCTTCAAAACTGAAAGGTAGATTAAACAAAGCTTCTGTCTACCATAAAGGCCTTCCCAGGTTCTAACTGTTTCCAGACTCATTTAAGTCTTCACTCAAGACTTTCCAATGCCATGACATCAGCCAACAAACCCTACTGGGATATTGACGAGGAAGCCTGTTATTGATATCTTTGTGCCAAAAGTTCTCAAAGTCTGCAGAAATATCTCTAGGGACTAGTCACAAGACAACAAATCACTATGATTTGGGTAATGACAAGGAGAGGAGACATCACTTCTCTGAATGACTCAACAGGTACATGCCCTCTAGGGAAAGTTGCAGATGGGGTTCAAACTTTTAAAATGAACCAATATGTGAGCCTTCTCACCAAAGTTCTCAGAAAATATTACTTCTCCCATTTTCCATTGCCTGCACTTTCTGCATTGCATGAGAAAAGTACATCTTCCTTCCCGTCCTTACAACACGTCTAGAACTCACACGTCATACAACCCGTCTTGCCTACCCTACAAGGTTCCATCCAAAAAAGGAGCCGGAACTCCCTTCTGGGTGTTCTATGACAAACAAAGCCCTGGGTGTAGGTATATACATATGTTGTACATAGCATATCTATAAGTGTGTTATGTGTACACTTTTGAGAGCAGGCAACAGAATTTCATTTTTAATGTGTGCCAGTGTGCCCAGTAAAAAATGACCAAAAAAATTATCTTATCTTAACATGTCATTTTAGAAATTCTTCCCTGTCACCAAATATCAGGGTTTCAGGACCATAGTACATGGCATCAGGGAAAACCCCCATATAATCTTGATTATTATACTGAACAAATGGGGGAAATACCCCTTGCTGCCCTGAAATCCAATAACTTTGGGGAGTTTGTTTAATTTAAGGGGCAAAAAGGAGAGGCTATCAATAAACTGAATCTTAAAAGTACATTAGGGTAATAGATAGCAATTTAATACCCTGGCTTAAAAGTTCAATCTGGACCTTTTCCTGGACCAGGACAAGAAAGCTATCATAAACTTTGGAGTTGTGAGCAATAAAAGTTCAACCTGTAAATTTCCAATTTATCAATTTCTTCAGAAATTGAACCATGTATCTATCATCATAACTATTTATTTATTTATTTATTTATTTATAAATTTATATACTGCTCGTCATAAACTTTGGAGTTCTGAGCAATAAAAGTTCAACCTGTAAACTCCCAATTTATCCATTTCTTCTGCCAAGAAGTTACTCTAGGTTTTACAGTAAAAGGAACAGAATAAAACTTAAAAATATTACAATAACAAATATTAGCATTAAAATTAATCTTAAAATAGATAAAGATAGTGAAAAAGGCAGCAAGGTACCATGACAGCAGTGTTCCAATATTTGAGGGCTGTCACAAAGTAGAGGGAGTCCAAAACACCAGAGGGAAGGACAAGAAGTAACAGATGGAAACTAATCAAAGAGAGAATCAATCTAGAACTAAGGAGAAAATTCCTAACAGAACAATTAAGCAGTGGAATTATTTGCCTCCAAGAGTTATGGGTGCTCGAACACAGCAGATTTTTACTGAGCAGGAGGTTGGACTAGAAGACCTCCAAGGTCCTTCCAACTCTGTTATTCTGGGGGAAGAACTGTAAATAATTTGAGGTATGCATATGATGTAACACTATTAGCTGAAAATTAAGATGTGGACAAAATGATTTGGAAAATCAAAAGTGAAAAATTAGGAAACATCAGGAAAACAAAGATAACAGCTGCAGATGGAGATATTTAAAATCAACAAGGAGGATATTGAATCAGTTAGAGAGGTTATCTTTCTTGGATCCAAAATTGTTCATGATGGCAGTTCTACTCCTGAAATCAAACACCTTCTGTGGCACTGTAATGGTTAACATGAATAAGATCTGGAAAAGCAGAGATACTGATACAAATACAAAAAGCAGGCTAGTTAGAGCAATAGTCTTCCCTATAATAATGTACGGCAGGAGTGTCAAACTGATGGCCCACGGGCCAGATGCGTCATGGAAAAATCACACCCACCCCATTGCCGGCAATGAAAAAAAAAGTCATGATACATCGTGACACATGACGTGACATCCCTGATGTACAGGTATGAGAGTTGGGCACTAAGAATGGCTGATTGAAGAATTGACACCTTTGGCATAAATTATTGCATATACCATGGACATCCAGAGTAATTAACAGAGAGGTGCTAAATCATATAAAACAGACATATCACTAGATGCTAAATTATAAGACTTCGTCTGATTTAGTTTGGCCAAATCAACTTCTCCAATTCACTGGAGGAAACAATGATGCTAGGAATGATTAGTGGAACAAGAAGGGGCAAGCAAAGAACATGATGGCTTGATAACATCAAATCTGAACATCCAACAATTGAAAGAAACTGTGTTTGACAGGGTAGCATGGCGATCACTTGCCTATAGTCACCAAGAGTCAGGCACGACTAAATTGTCAAAACAATAACAAGCAAGTTTTAAGTGATTGGGTGTTGATAAAGTAATACCAGTGGACAAATTAGTGACAGGAAAAATCCAAGATAATTTGAATTTGTTCAGTGATTCAAGAGATTATTTGATGCCAATTATGATGGGAAGGACTGTGGCAGCTCAGCAAGGCCAGAAGACAGCCTCAGCCCCAGTGGTCCTGCTGCTGAACAAACTAAGAAGAATCTTGGTTCTGATGGCACAGATAACAGTTTTGGGCAAACATCAGCACTGAAGGCATCAAGAGTAGACTCTCCTGTTTTCTTAAAGAAAATTGCAACGATCACTCCTACGAGGCCCATAGTAGCACACAGAACACTGGTGGCTAATAAATCCGGGCCTGGGATGGTCAAAAAAGGTCCCAGGGGAATTAGAGAGGATGAATTTGCTAAATTGATACAGCAGATCAACCTATTAAAGATGACAGTTGAAGATTTGGAAAAGAAATGAGATTTCTACTTTGGAAATCTGAGGAACATCAAGCTGATTTCCCAGCAGAACAAAGGTGAAAGTGATCCTGTCCTGAGAAAAATACTACAGATGAAGGCTTTGTAACATCCAATGAAAGAGCAATTCTGAAGGAGCAATATTAATGGTCCACCGATTTTACAGCGAAGCAGCAGCAGTCAGAAATCAAAAGGAAAAAAAAAGCCGCCTTCCTTAATCTTGGCATCAGTTGTTCTTGGAAACATCTGTCTCAAATAACATACTTTAATCTTAAATCATTCACAAAAGTTTTCATCAGTATGAGTTTTATGTGAAGCAGAGGCAAACATATCTTTCTACAGTTAACAAGTGATTCATGTTCCACATTTTTCTGTCCTGGAAGCAAATCCTTTCAAAGTGGCCATTTCTTTATAATGTAATGCAGGGCTGTCAAACTGCCAGCCTGAGGGCCAGTTTCATCATACCGGAGCCACGCCCACCCCATTGCCGGCAATGGCGAAAAAGCTCCGATATGTTGCATGACGTCACATGATGTTGCAAGTTTGACATGTCTGATGTAATGTGATTCTCTTGCACAGTTTCCCATTCACATATGTAACATCAGTACTTAGTATGAGGGTGAGGGTCCATTCTCTGAGCTTGTGGGTTGGTTTCTGAACATTTGGTTACCAGGCTAGGTAACATCTTCAGCAGAATTTAGGGGATGGAGGTTGCTAAAGAGGAGGGCTACAGATATTCAGCACTATTGCAGTACTCAGGCTGCATTCCAAGCAGTGGAGCTACTACATTTAGCTCTCCAGTCCAAGCTGGGAATAAACAACATGGAGACTGCTTTAGAAAGAAGATTGTAGTTTATTGAAGAGGAGAGCCAGACAGAAAGATGGTTCTGGAAAAAACTGACATGTAGTATAGAGTGGGTTTTTATACCTTATTGTTTGGAGTTGTTCCTGTGACATGAACTTTGACCTGAACCTGAGTGTGCCTTTCTAGTATTCTGATGGTGGTAGGTTAATCCTATTATGTCCCAAAGGTCACATCCTGCTTCCCTGGGGCTGTGGCTGATGACTGTTGGTTTTTTTAGTGTGAGAGTTTGTTGATTCTAAGGATCTTTCTTTCTAATCCCAGTTTTCTGACTCCAATTTTGCTGACAAGATTATCACATCTGCATTTCTGCAGACCTGGTTTCTGTCTGGGGCAGAGAGACTTGGGGGGGGGGTCTGCCTTTAAAATACTTTGGGGGACATATATTCTGCCTTGGGGAAAATATATTCTGCCTTTTTAGTATTTCCCAAAATATTTATTTCCCTGGATTCTTCCCACAGTATAAAACCAATAAAGAATATTTGTAGCTCAGGATTGAAATGAGGGGTTTTTGGTGCTAGCACTAATGATATTATTTAGTGGGCAGTGAAACGTCTGCAAGAAAAAAAACCAAGCTCAGAGACCACGAAGAATCCCTCATTGTGTAAAAACAAATTTCTATAAAATGGCACATGACAGGTTAAATTAAAGGTTACTTTCATGATCAAAAATCTTTTTAAGATATACCCAAAGATATTCAGGAAGCAAAATCTTTTTTGTCCAGTGATATTAACCCAAATGCTAATAACATATTTTTAAAATGGTCATCATGAAGTCTAAAATTCCAGGTAACAGATCTTTTTATGAGATGTTAGATAACTGCTCTGAATAAAGGTCTTTCCACACTTAGTGCATTGACATGGCTTCTCTGCTGTGTGGATCCTTTCATGGGAAATAAGTTCAGTGCTATTAGTGAAGCTGTTTCCACACTCCATACACTTATGTGGTTTCTCTTCTGTATGAATCCTTTTATGGGGAGTAAGGGAACTGCTTGTTCTGAAACTTTTCCCACAATCTTTACATTTATATGGTTTCTCTCCTGTGTGGATCCTTTTATGGAAAGCAAGGGAACCACTATGACTGAAGCTCTTTCCGCACTCCACACACTTATATGGCTTTTCACCTGTATGGATCCTTTTATGGGAAGTAAGTTGGCTGCTCTGAATGAAGATCTTTCCACACTTCATGCATTTATATGGTTTCTCCCCCGAATGGATCCTTTTATGGAAAGTAAGGGAATTACTATGACTGAAGCTCTTTCCACACTCTTTGCATTCATGTGGCTTTTCCCCTGTGTGGATCCGTTTATGGGAATTAAGATTTCTGTGTTGACTGAAGCTCTTTCCACATTCCATGCATTTATATGGTTTCTCCCCTGTGTGGCTAGTTTCATGGGAAATAAGACAATGACTCTTATTAAAGCTCTTCCCACATTCCCTACACTGAAATGGCTTCTGTCCTGCATGCATCCTTTTATGGGAAGTAAGAGAGCTGCTCATTCTAAAGTTCTTTCCACACTGTATACATTTATATGGCTTCTCTCCTGTGTGGATCCTTTTATGGCAAGTCAGATTACTGTGCTGGCTGAAACCTTTTCCACACTCCATGCATTTATACGGCTTCTCTCCTGTGTGGATCCTTTTATGGGAAGTCAGATTATTGTGTTGGCTGAATCCCTTTCCACATTCCATGCATTTATATGGTTTCTCCCCTGTATGGATCCTTTTATGGGTGGTAAGATTTCTGTATTGGCTGAAGATCTTCCCACACTCTTCACATGTATATGGTTTCTCTTCTGTGTTGATCCTTTTATGAGATGAAATTGACCTAGTACCATGAGAATGGGGAAAAGTCCAATTGTAATTTTTTCCATTGTCTCTGCCTATGTTATGTTCTTCTTTGTTTTGGGTTGGATAGTGTTCATTTACATCTAATTTGTGGTTGATTAGCTTCACGCTTTTCCTAGTATATTGTTTCTTTATTTTCACTTGTTGGGCAAGAAAATATTGCATCAGAGCATCAGTGGAACATGAGCTTTCCTGATTCCAAATATTTGACTGGTTTCTCTCATGGCTTTCTGTTTCCATTCGAATTCCAAATTTCTCTATTTTATCTTTAGCACTGATCACTTGGAACAGTTCATGGGAATCTTTATTCTCCTGCCCATTATTTCCTTCAAAGGAAAAGAGAAATGAAAATGATAACAGGGTTAGTGAAAAAGATCAAACTGTAGGGTGTCACATGAATTTCCTTTTGAATTTTTCCAAAACGGCAATATGTTGTATGTTGTATGCTTACAATGGCATGATGTAGACATAATAGTTTATATATTCATGAACCGTGAAAGCTTTGAAAATATCTAGAAAATCTCTTTCTTTACAATTATACATAGATATGCAAATCTCACCCAGAATCAATTCCGAGTTAAAGAATAATGAGGGGAAACATCCAAGGAGGTATTAGCAGAAAACCTCAGATTTATTGGAGTGGGTTAATTTCAGCAGAGGCCTGAGAGAACTGAAACAATTTTGTAACAAGCTTTTTTTCCCTATCCAAACTAATTTCCCTTTACTATTCAATTTCTTTTGCCAAAATTACATAGTTGCAGAGAAGAAAAACAGGGATCCAAAAAACCCTCAACATAGTTTTTGCAATGGAAAAGCAGCACCATTTAACCCAGTGAGAGTGAAATATTTGGGCTGGGCATGTCAAAAATTTAGAAAATGCTTGACTTTGCTGATGTAACATATATATCCCCTTCCACCCTCACACACATCAAAACTAGAACAATTCTCTATCTCTCCCTCATCTAGGCCACCCTGAACAGTAGTACTTAGTAGCAGCATCAAATCTGGGCTTGAAATAGGAGCCCAGTCTCAACTTCAGGCCTTAGCACTACCACTTTCAATTCCACAAGCAATTCCGCAAGCAATTCCATCAACAGACACATCAACCTACAACCAGCCTACGAACCCTTCTGAATCCAAATCAATTCGCACAGCCAGACAGAGATAGCACTGACCTTCAACCTCCCCCACCTATCAGCAGTTCATTCCCCATGATCCTGACCTGATGTAATCTCCCTTTCACAAGACCCATCACAAGCCTCTCACTGGTGACTCATACCTGACCTATCACAAGATCCTCACGTGACACACTCATACCTGAAGCCCTTTTAAACAGAACACTGACATCCCCTAAACTCCACTGAAGATGTTATCTAGCCTCGTAACAAAGGGTTTGGAAACCAACGCGCAAGCTCTGAGAACGAACCTTCACCCTTATACTATCACTTTTACACAAAAAAGACTTCCCTGCACCATTCCGCAGTATGTGCAATGTTTGGGGAACGGTGTGATTGCCATGCAGCACCGGGGTCTACTGCGGCCTGCTTACCTTCAGATAGTGTTCTCTCTCTCTGTTGACAGGCCCTTGAGGCCTGCTAGAAGCTACTCTGCACTGCACAAGATCCTCGTTCTAGAAATGATTTCACAGAATGCTGTTCTGTGGCCTCTGCAGCTTCTTAAAAAAACATGTGAAAGAACAATTCCATTCTCGCATGGTTTTTGGAGACACCCAGGGCCACATAAGAGCACACTCCTCCCAAAATGTCTTCCGGTGGCTGCATGAGAACACATCTTGTTCTTCTAAGTGTCTGAAAATTGAACAAGAATTTTGGTTGCTTTTAAGAATAGTTGTCAGGTTTGGGGGACTATTGGCATGTTCCCCCCAAAAAATTTTGGGGGCACGTCACCTTTGAAATGTGTGTCATAGCTTTGCCATCACTGATTTAGCACCTAATCTCAAGGCTCAGGATAGAAATGAAAAGGAAGAAAAGTCATTGACCCAAGAACCTGATGAAATAACCACCCTTCCTAGGACAGATAAGGAAGCATCTGGGCCCAAATAGCTGAAATAGATTTGATGGAATTGACCAACTCTTCAAGCCAAGAAATTAGTTTCTCACTGATAGGTTGAAATAGAAATGGAAAAGATAGATGAGAAATGGAACTGTGTGCACATCTAAGGAAAAGGCGACTGACCACTTTCCTTCCTTGGAGCAGAAGGCCAGATCTTTTCCTTCTCCTTCCCAGAAGATGAGGTCTGGTTGGAGATTTTTAAATAAGAAATAGCCAATAACGTTTAACAACCGAATGTCTCCCCAAACATTCTGACTAGGGAGAAGCAAACCCCTTACCCAGAGAGGCCACGTTCCTATGATTTTCCAGCATGATTTCCCAATACAATGCTTTTTGGTGAGCATCCAGCTGAGTCCACTCCTCCTCGGAGAAATACACAGCCAACTCCTCGAAGGACACATGGCCCAACTGAACAAGGAAAAAAAAAAAACAGAACAGGTCCAAGATTTGCAAGGTCTGTTCCACTGTTCGCAAAGTAAAATTATGCGCCAAGTTAAATGGCTGTACATGGTAGGATAAGGTTTATGTGAGAAAATAAACAGAACTGAAAACGTGTCACTGAAAAGGTATTTTGGGCAAGTTTTATCAATTTCATTGAGTCTGCAGGACTTTCTGTGCGATTCAGTGAAAGTAACCTCATTTTTGGATCTATCATCTATCTATCCATGTCTGTCTGTCTGAACCATTGGCTGAACAGGAGAAAAGAAAGGAGAAAATTGCCTGGGAAGGGCATTTCTCAGCCTTTGCAAAGTGAGGATTTTATCTCCGAATCCAGGCATAAATCCGAGGGTTAGAAATTACTTTGCAGGCTGAAAGTGCCTTGATCACGTGCTCCTTCAAAACCATTTTTACTTAAGCAATTCCTCTATAATGCTACTCATGGGATTTTAATTGTCCACCTTATCTTTCAATCTGATTCAATTATCTTATCACTGGTTGCACACCAGGCTTATAAAAATGATAACAAGCCAGTCTGGGTCTTTGGTTATTTTTGATTAGCTGTGCACATTCTAAGTCAAAGACTTACAAAATGAACTGGTCTCTTTTTAGCAATTGCTGCCACTGTGGTACTTTTATCCCTATTTCTTGAAGGACTTTTTAAAAAACTGCTTCTTGTGAATTCATAGTAGGAAGAGTAGCCAGCAGAGCAAGTTAATTAGTGATCTTCAAAAAAAAAAAAATTTCCTAAACAGAATCTGATAGAAATGGCTAAATATTATGTCTCAACAACAGTCTTCAGAGGAAGCTAACTGAAAAAGTTTGAACCTGCTATTCCCCTTCCCACATTGCTCAGAAACACAAAAATAACCCAGTGCAAACAACGGGGGGAAATGGAAGGAATGCTCTGTACACCAGCTTGACTTCCTGAAGAAAAAGAGAGTACAAATTTAATACACTGATTTCCCCCTCTTACTTGAGTTGTTGCTTTAACCACGGTTCCAGCTCCACAATAAGGAAGAGGCGACTTTGTTCTATTCTTCCCTGTGGACGATCATAAAATTTATAATATATAATTAACAGGATGGAAAGTATACAGAAGGTAAGAAAGCGGGCATCTCTCTGGGGAATGGGAGAAGTTTTAATTACCTCCTGAGGTATCCTGATCTGGATCTTCCTGAGAGCTCCTTCTCAAAAACAGCTCTTGAGGGGGATTAGATAGATTCCTCTTTCCTTTAGGATCCCTGATCTCCATAGTAAAAGACTTGAAATATGAGGATGAAGAAAAGAAGAATTAGCGGGCACCACATAACAAGATATCCATCAGTGAGGTTGAGTAGGAAATAATGTTCTACAAGAATTGGTGTGACATCTTCACATATTATGAATGCCAGAGAAGTCTGGAAGAGAAACAGAAATCATACACATTCTTTATGCCCTTTTGGACTCCCAGGTCGAGGCTCTCTCACCTGCAACCCAACTTGCTCCTTCTGCTCCTCTGCCTGGCTCAGGAGCAGGCCTTCCACTAGGGCCACCACCTGGGAGGTGGTCTCTGCTCCACACTCCCGCACCCAGCTCTCCATGTGTGGGGGCAGAAAGGCCAGGAGTTGCTCCAGAACAACCAGGTCCAACATCTGGGCTTTGGTATGCTTTTCTGGTTTCAGCCATTGCCTACAAAAGTCATGGAGTCGGCTGCAAAGTCCTCGGGGACCGTCAGCCTCCTGGTATTGGAGGCTCCTGAAGTTCCAGGTCTGAGCTTCTGAATGGATGATGGTTTCCTCCTCTTGGATCTTCTGCCCAGTTCTTGCCCAGATCACCCTACAGCTCCCAGGCTGAACAACAAAAGAGCCTTTTCCAGTTCCCACGCTTGCAAAAGGTTGTGTCTCCATTCTTTCTCTGTCCTGTAAGGCAGCTCTGAACAAGTCCCAGGAATCTTATGGATGTCCAAACACCTTTTCCCTCATAGGAATGACCTCCATGAATGTAGCTGCAGGAATGACCGCAGAAGGAATTTCAGCTCTCTTTCCCCAAGGGATGATTTTGTACATGAAGGAACAAAGGGCTTCCAGTGTGTTATCTGAGACGGGGAAGAAAAAAGTCCAAGAATTACATGCAGTAGATATAAAATCATTGAACAACCACGTGGGGGAGGCATATACAGGTAGTCCTCAACCTACGACCACAATTGAGCCCATTTCTGTGATTAAGTGAAACATTTAGTTGAGTTTTGCCATATTTTATGACTTTTCCTGCCACAGTTGTTAAGTGAATCACTGAAATTGTTAAGTTAGTAACACAGCTGTGAAGTGAATCTGGCTTCCCTATAGTTTGCTCATCACAGAAAATGATCACGTGACCCAGGGACATTGCAACCGTCCTAAATATGAGTCAGTTCCCAAGCATCTGAATTTTTGATCACATGACCACTGAGAATGCTGCAAAGGTCATAAGTGTGAAAAAAATGGTCACAAGTCACTTTTTTTCAATCATGTTGCAACTTTGAACAGTCACTAAAAGAAGTGTTGTAAGTCAAGGACTACCTGTACAGGCGTGCAGAGGCATTGAGCGGATGGGTTATCTGTGTGTGTGTGTGTGTGTTTGTGTGTGTGGTGCAGAATATGGAACTGATTTCCAGCTGACTTCCAATGGGTGTAACCGAGATGGAAAAGAAAATCAATTCCACCAATTACAAAATGGGGAATTGAACAATTGCCCGGAGCCCCAACAGCAGAGCTGGGAAAGGAGGCAGATGGAGATGCTGCCCTGCTTCTCTGCCGCTCCAGCCCCAGGTGCGAATCCTGCCTCTCTTCTGTCCTGCTGGACCTCGGTGAGGCCAACCCTCCTCTCCCCCCACTCGGGCTCTTCTTCCCCGGACACGGAGCGGGAAGGAACCCCCGGATTCACGCCGCCTTCTTGCGATCTCCGGTGCTTCTTCTGCTGCACTGGAGCTCCGCTTTCCCCACTGTATGGAGAGGGCGGCTGAGGAACATGGGACCCGGGATTGGACCCGGAGAAGGGCCGGGACCGGATCTCCCCCTCCTTCGCCTCCCTTTGCACGGGAATATTCCCCCCCCTCCACCTAAGATACGAGTGAATCTCTTCCCCGCGAGACGCTTCCACAGCCTCTTCGCCTCACGCGGAGCTCAAAGCGTTAAGGAAAGCGAGTGCGGCCTCCCAGAGCGGCAAGCATTTGTGACGTCACGCCTCCTCTGGAAAGCCAGCCGTGATGTTCGCCCTCCACTGGACCAATGGGGAAACACCTGACGTTCCCTTCTCTTTGCCGAGCGCGTCCCCTGAAGGAATCTATGTGACAGGATTCCCCAAAAGGGCGGGAAAAGGGAGAACGTCTGAAGGGGAGGGGTAGGGCAGGGATGATGGGCATGAGAGTAGGGTGGAAGGTCCCTCTCAATGGCTTCTTGCCCGAGAAAGGCGGCGGTATCTTCTGAGGCGGCAGTTTCTCCATCTTCCTTACTGTCTAGGAACCGTCTGTGGATATGGAGAAAAAAATCTGTCTGGAGGACTTGAACTCACTTCCCTCAAGAACAGCTTCCCTGAAGGCTCTGCAGAGGTTGGAGGAGGCCTCAAAAGGGGCCATATCCTCTCAGAAATGGCCAGGCGATCAGAAGACGAGGACATAGAGCCTTTCTGGGAAACACAATTTGTGTCTTCTGGTTGTTGCGAATTCCAGCCTGAAGTGAAGGAAGATGGGACATGGACAGTTGAATCCACAACCGGGAAAATGGAGATTTTGATTTTTATTTATTTCAGTATATACCGCAGCCCTTCTCAAATTCTTTGGTCTGGGTGCCTAAGAACAACTGGAAACGATGAGTGGCAGCTCCTAACGATAAGAATAATCTTGAATTATTATGAATTGATATTTTGAAATATATATTAAAAAATCAGTTCCAACATGGAGAAAAACATGAAAACTTGTGGATGTTTCAGAAATTTTACCTCATTGATGGAGAAATGAAGAGAGGGTAAATGACAACATGTCTATCACGGGAGAAAAGCTAGAATTTCAAAATGAAGGAAGCAAAAAAGTGAAAATTGAATATAAAGTTCAAATACCATGAGATTAAAGAAAAAAGTATGTTTTACTTAGGAATTGAATAAGGAATAACCTCAGGGAGTATCACTAGGAAACTTAAGACCCTTGGAGAATTTAAGGCAACAGGGATACCTTTAGATCATTAATAAACAGAAACGGAAAGCCCAAATTTTGTTATAGTTAAAAGAGTTAAAACTTCACCGCACAAGAGATTTGTCTGCACACACACACACACACACACACACACAGTATACCTCTGGAATTCTCTCACATCATGAGAGGCCTTTGAAAAGTGTTCCAGTCATACTGGTTGACTCAGAGCAAATTTCTTCACTGTGAATGCAAGTTGGATTATTTTGGGGGGTATCCTCATATCCCAGAGGGAGTTCCTGTTGCCATTTCTGAGAAGTAGTTTTTCTTACGGTCAGATTATTTTATTTTGGTCCCAACAGATTTCCAAAGAACTTCCTTCATTGTTTGCAATGCCAGCACAATGGAGTTGTTTTCATTCATTCTCCTGAATATTCCTAACTTGAGATGGATGGATGGATGGATGGATGGATGGAAGGAAGGAAAGAAGGAAGGAAAAATTCAAAGCACAAATCCTCCTAGTTGTCATTTTTAATTCAATATTGTAATTATTCAATTGGACAATTCAATATCACTTTCCATTTCTCTCTGTTTACAATGATGGAACTTGCACTCCCTTTGGATTATAATATTCCTTCAGACCCCAGAATCTATCTGCTGCACTATTTCCAAGTTTTTGGGAGAACATAGACCCAGTAGGTTCCTCTGCCAAAATAATATATTAAGAAATGAGAAAGGGAGGGGGAAACAACTGTAAGAAGACTAGACAAAAGAACAAAAATTTAAACTATGGGAATTTTTACATGCAGGTCCACTGTAGCAGAAGAAAGACTAATCGTGTTTTGTCTTGAAGAGCTGCATAAGGAAGATGCACTTCCTTCTTCTGAGGAAGAAGCACCTGTTAAATGTCTGCCTATTGACAGCCCTCCCAGAACCAAAATCAATTAGTAACTGAGATAAATGTAAACTTAAGAAAAAAAATTGTTTATTGATATTAAACACGTTAGCGCTCTTCTTAACTTTTAAGAAGAGATTGGACGACCATTTGGTTGAAATGGTATAGTCCCTTCCAACACTGCTATTCTATTCTGTTCTGTTCTAATGTGGGAGTTGTCAAAAGGAACACCATAGTTTGGTAATGAAACATCTGCAAGCCAACAACCAAGCTCGGAGAGTACCAAGAACCCATACACTACAATTGTTAAGCAAATCAATGGATTCCTATGTATTGTTTGCATCCCTCATGTGACCACAGAATGTGTAATCTCCCTCATATTACCATGAATGCTGCAGCCGACTCATCTTAATGCAAAATATAACATAAATCACATCATTTGATTGCAGGGGTACGTGCCACTACTGGAATACACGGACTGGGTTGTAAGTAGCTTTGGGGAGCTCCCCAATAACTTTGAACAATTTTTAAGTGAATAGTCACGAGAACTACCTTTATTTGTAAATAGGAAATGCATAAATTTAACCAACTAAATATAGAGTTTACATGAATTCTCACCCAAATGGATCTTTTACATATTAGATCATTCCTCCTTCTGAAGCTCCTTCCGCGCACACTTTTATATAGTTTTTCTTTTGTGTGGATTCTTTTATGGGAAGTAAGATCACTGCTAGTAGTGAAGCTCTTTCCAGACTGTGTGGATCCTTCTATGGGAAGTAAGATGACCGCTATTAGTAAAATTATTTCCACACTCCACACATTTATATGGCTTCTCTCCTGTGTGGATCCTTTTGTGGGAAGTAAGATCACTACTTGTGGTAAAGTTCTTTCCACATTCCATACATTTATAAGGCTTCTCCCCCGTGTGGATTCTTTTATGTGAAATAAGAGAACCACTATGACTGAAGCTCTTTCCACACTCCACACAGTTGTATGGCTTCTCCCCCGTGTGAATCCTTTTATGTCTCGTAAGGGATGCATTTTCACTGAAGCTCTTTCCACATTGTCTGCAGTTATATGGTTTCTCCCCTGTGTGGATCCTTTTATGAGAAGTAAGGTGGCTGCTAACAGTAAAACCCATTCCACACACCAAGCATTTATATGGTTTCTCCCCTGTATGGATCCTGTTATGATAAGTAAGGGAACCACTATGACTGAAGCTCTTTCCACACTCTCTGCATTTATATGGTTTCTCCCCTCTGTGCATCCTTTCATGGGAACTAAGGTTACCCTGTTGGGTGAAGCCCTTCCCACACTCTCTACATTTATATGGCTTCTCCCCTGTGTGGATCCTTTTATGTCTCCTAAGAGATACATTGTCATACAAGCCCTTTCCACATTCCATGCATTGATACGGCTTTTCTCCCGTGTGGATCCTTTTATGGGAAGTAAGTTGGCTACTTTGAGTAAAAGTCTTTCCACAGTCCAAACATTTATAAGGTTTCTCCCCTGCATGGATCCTGTTGTGGTAAGTAAGGGAAACACTGTGGCTGTAGCACTTTCCACACTCTCTGCATTTGTATGGCTTCTCCCCTGTATGAATCCTTCTATGGGACGTTAGATGACTGCTTTGAATAAAAGATTTTCCACACTCCATGCATTTATATGGCTTCTCTCCTGCGTGGATCCTTTCATGTTTCATAAGGGATGCATTTTCACAAAAGCACTTCCCACATTCTTTGCACTTATATGGCCTCTCTCCCGTGTGGGTCCTTTTATGGGAAATAAGCTGACTGCTATGAGTAAAGGTCTTTCCACACTCCAGGCATTTATATAGCTTCTCTCCTGTATGGATCCTTTTATGAGATGTAAGGGAACAGCTATCACTGAAACTATTTCCACAGTCCATACACTTACATCGTTTCTTCCCTGTGTGGACCCTTTTATGAGAAGTAAGATGACTGCTATTAGCAAAACCCTTTCCACATTCCATGCATTTATATGGTTTCTCCCCTGTATGGATCCTGTTATGGTAAGTAAGAGAAACAGTATGTCTAAAGCTCTTTCCACATTCCTTGCATTTATGTGGTTTCTCTCCTGTATGAATCCTTTTATGGGAAGTAAGTTGACTGTTATTAGCAAAGCCCTTCCCACATTCCAGACATTTGTATGGCTTCTCCCCTGTATGAATCCTTTTATGTCTCATAAGGGATGCATTTTCACAGAAGCGCTTTCCACACTCCATGCATTCGTATGGTTTCTCCCCTGTATGGATCCTATTATGGGAAATCAGTTGGCTGCTATGAGTAAAACTCTTTCCACACTCCATGCATTTATATAGCTTTTCCCTTGTGTGGATCCTTTTATGGATAGTAAGATTTCTGTGTTGACTGAATGCCTTTCCACACTCCATGGATTTGTACGGTTTCACTTCTGTGTGGGTCTTTTCATGAGATGTAAGAAACCCATTTTCATAAGAAAAAGTGAATGTCCAATTGCCATTTTTCCCATGGTCTCCAGATACACAATCTCCTTTGGCTTGGGTTGGATAATGTTGATTTACATCAACTTTATCTTGGATTAGCTTCACACTTTTCGCAATATAGCTTTTCTTTATTCTTCCTTGTTGGGCAACAAAGTCTTGTATCGGGACATCAATGGAAGGGCTTTCTTGATTCCAATCATCGGATTGGTTTCTCTGATGTTTTTCTTTTTCCATTTGAATTGGAAATATTCTGTCTCCAGCACTGATCACTTTAAATAGTTCACAGGAATCTTTATTCTTCTGCCCATTATTACCTTCAGAAGAAAAGAGAAATGAAAATGATAGCAAGGTTAGGGAAAGAGATCAATCTGTAGGAAGTCATAAGAATTTCCTTCTGAAATTTTGCCCAGTTTCGATATTTTATATAGAATGTCTTCCCAAATTCTCTGATTGGAGAGTAGCAAACCCTTACCCAGCAAAGCGACGTTCCTGTGATTTTCCAGCATAACTTCCCAATGCAGGGCTTTTTGGTCAGTATCCAGCTGAGACCACTCCTCCTCAGAGAAATACACAGCCACCTCCTCAAAGGATACAAGATCTTCCTGAACAATGAAAAAAAAGAAGAAAACAGACCCAGCCAAATTCGCAAAATAATATTTAAATAACACTAAACAAAGATATGGATTAAGTTAAATGTTTGTTTGGTCAAATTCCAAACTTTAGATAAGAAAATGGACAGAACCAAAACTTTTAATTAAAGAAATACTGATTCTGCAGGACTTTATTTATTTATTATGAAATTTATTTGCTGCCCGTCTTGTGTCAAACAACTCTGGGCAGCTTACAGGATAAATGCACCATAAATAAACAGTATTGCACGCTAATTCTGCCGACTGCCAGCAGTTTGATTCTCACCGGCTCGAAGTTGACTCAAGCCTTCCATCCATTCAAGGTCGGTAAAATGACCCAGATTGTTGGGAGAAAGAGGCTGACTCATAAACCGCTTAGGGCTGTAAAGTACTATGAAGTGGTATATAAATCTAAGTGCTATTGCTATAAAAACATTCAAACACATTAAAATCATCAGATATAAAATGACAAAGCAAATGAGATAAAATCATTAACACAAGATGGAGAAGGAGGGTGCCGAATTGGGAGTGCATGTTATCTTTTAGTCAACAACCTCCTGTGTGAAGCTCCCCCACTGGGACTCCACATCTTCTGGCAAAGACAGGTTGAGATGTGTTTGAGTATTAGTAGCTTGGGTTGGTAATAGAGCTGTTGATTTGATCGCTGAGCTTGGTGATTTAGCTATAAACATTTCATCTCCATTTGGGGAGACATCTTCAGTGTGCTTTGAATTTGAATTGAAAGAGACAAGTCTTAAGGCTCTTGTGAGAAGTCAGGCGGATGGGAGCCAATTTCATTTCAGGGGAGTAACATATTACAAATGTCTTCAATGCCATTCAGTGAAAGGAATCTCAGTTTCCTTTGGATTGCTCGAGATCTATGTCTGTCTGCCCATCCCTCCCTTTCTTTCTCCCTCTCTTCCTACATCAATCATCAAAAGACTCTCAGCAACTAGAGAGATTCAACTGGCAGATGGGCCTTGGAATCCACATCTATCACAGACTCCAATCCTTACTGTCTATGCCAGTGATGGCGAACCTTTTAGGGACCGAGTGCCCAAACTGCAACCCAAAACCCACTTATTTATCACCAGGTGCCAGGTGGGCGTGGCTCACTGGGTGGGCATGGCTGGGGTCATGGCAGATTGGGTGGGAGTGGCCAAAGTGGGCGTGATCACCTCGATGTTGTTCATGGGGAGGGACGCCTGTGGGGGCCAGGCAGGATTGGGGGAGATCCAAGGGGTCTCTGCCAGGTGGGGCAGTGGGCAGAAGGCTCGTCCTGCAGGGTGAGGTGAGGCAAGGCGAGGCAGGGTCGGGGTGCCATTGTCACAGGGCAAGGTGTGGCAGGGGCGGCTGCTGCCTGACACCATCGACCTCTGCACACAGAGGCCAGGGAGCGCATGGGAGCTAGGATGCATCCGGCCATGTGGGACCTCAGCGAGTTAGTGGGTGGCTGGTTGAAGAGGGACGGTTGCCATCTCCAGGGCATGGCCTGTGTGCCCACAGAGAGGGCTCTGAGTGCCACCTCTGGCACGCGTGCCATAGGTTCGCCACCACTGATCTATGCAGAAGAAAACTGATGGAGGGGATTCTTTCTAGCATTTCATCAAAAGGCTTATGGTAACTCAAAAGGAATAGTCCTATTCATTCTCAAAACAAGTGAAAGTGCTGGGAGAGACAGCTAGGGATTTGGGTGGATGCCACCCATATCCAGAGAAATACTGTTTCTGCTTCTACTCAGAATATAAGGAACCAATCGCTAGTACGTAATACAGACCATTGCTTTTTCACGAGGCAACTGGACTTCCGAAGCTTCTTGGATGAGAAGTGAAATGTCTTCAAAGAAAAACAAGAAAGTCCAGTTGCCTCGTGAAAAAAGCATCTTTGGGATCTCTTTGAAAGCTTCTGTAAGAAATCAGTTTTTGAAAATGTGAGTGACTAAATAATTAGCCAAAGGTGAGTTAAGTATTGGTCTTAAAAAAAAAAAAACAATTTCCTAATAAGAATCCCAACTGAATTTTTCTGTGTTGCTCAGGAACATGAAAATAATCCAGCCCCAAATGGGGGAGAAATGGAAGAAGAGACTGCAGCATCATCATCAGCTTCAGTTGCTGAAGGAAAGGGAGAATATAATTTTTTTTCTTTTTCTTACTTGATTTGCAGGCTCAGCCTCTGTTTCGGCTCCACCATAAAGATCAGAAAACTCCATGCTTTGTTTCCCTGTAAGGGATACATAATTTTAAAATACATAATTAAGGGAATAGGAATAGAATACATAGAGAAGATGAGACAGCTGGGATCTCTCTGGGGAACGGGAGGACCTTCAATTACCTCCTGAGGTGTCCTGACTCGAATCTTCCTGAGGGATCCTCCTGAAAAACAGCTCCTGAGAGGGATTTGATAGAGTCCTCCTCCCCTCAGGATCTCTGATCCCCGTAACGAAGGACTTGAAATAGAAGGAAGGAGAAAAGAAGAAGAATTAGTGGACATCACACAACATGAAGCGAATTCTTGTTCTCTGAACACAATTCCAAAGCCCGCCCAGTTCTGTCATTGAAACTGAGTAAAAAAACAACTGTCTCAAATCTATCTTCTAGATCAGTGGTTCTCAACCTTTTTAATGCCGCGACCCCCAACCAGTCGTAAGTCAAGGACTACTCAACCGGTCGTAAGTCGAGGACTACTCAACTGGTGCAGCACCGTTTGCAGAATGGGACTTTTGGCGGGCTCAGCAGGGCAGAGACAGCCTGGACAATTCCTATTGGCTTTCAAAAGCCAATAGAATAAAAGGGAGTAGCATAGCTAAGGAAAAGGGGGGAAAAAATGCCAGACTGCGTTGTTTGGCGACCCCCGTGAAATGGTCGTTCGACCCCAAATGGGGTCCCGACCCACAGGTTGAGAACTACTGTTCTAGAAAGAATAACGGAAGAATGTCCTACACGAATTAGTGAGACATCTTCACATATTACAAAAGGCAGAGAACCCTGATGGAGAGGGGTGAAGAAATCAAACATATTCTTTATTCCCTTTAAATCCCTTTTGGGCTCCCAATCAAACCTACTGGCAACTCAACCTGCTTTTTCTGCTCCTCCGCCTGACTCAAGAGGAAGCCTTCCACCAGGGCCACCGCCTGGGAGCTGGTCTCTGCTCCACATTCCAGCACCCAGCTCGCCATCTGCAGGGGCAGAAGGGACAGGAGCTGCTCCAGAACAACCAGGTCCAGCATCTGGGCTTTAGTGTTCTTTTCTGGTCTCAACCATCGCCTACAAAAGTCGTGGAGTTGGCTGCAAAGTCCTCGGGGATCCTCAGCCTCCTGATATTGGAGGCTCCTGAAGTTCCAGGGTGGAACTTCTGAATGAACAATGGATTCCTCCTCCGGGATCTTTGGCCCAGCTCTTGCCCACACTTCCCCACAGCTCCCAGACTGAAGAGCAGAAGGGCCTTTTCCAGTCAATTCACTTGCTAAACATTCTGTCTCCATTCTTTCTCTGTCCTGAAATGCAACTCCAAATGGGTTCAAAGGATCCTGTGGATCTCCAAACGCCTTTTCATTCATAGGACCGTTTCTGCAGCTGCCGGACTAGCTACAGAAGGTGATTCAGCCCTCTTTGCCCAAGAGAGAATGCTGGATGACTTCGACGTCCACTTTATGTATCTGAGATGAAAAAGGAAATAAATCCCAAGGATTAGAAAATGGAGAATTTAAACCATTGAACAGCACTGACACAACATGGGAAGATATATTTTTTTCTGATAGAGGATTGAAGTGGCTTTGAGCAAATGAGTTGTCTGATTATGTGTCTGTGTGTTTGTGGTGCAAAACACGGGACTGACTTCCATCAAGGGCATGCAAAACCCAATAAATCTAGTTTTTATTTCTATTCTCAAATGCTGAGAAACGACCCTAGTCTGAAGGTGCCCCCTTTCCCTTCTTCTAGGTGGCCTTTGGGAAGACAGATCTCCCTCTGACACGCAGGCAGGTTCACAAAACCTGTCAAACCCCAAACAGGTGAACAAACCATGAAATGTCAGGAAATGACCCTGGCTGGGGATGACCCCTTTCCTTTCTTCTGGGTGGTCTTTGGGGAGCCGAGTCGCCCTGACAGTCACACAACTGGCCGGAGCCTCAAAAGGGTCAGCCAAGCGCAGGGCGGAGGTCCCCCCGAGCAGGGCCGGGAAGGGACCCCCGGATCCCCGCCGCCTTCCTGGGATCCCCGGCTCTTCTCCTGCTGCTCTAGAGCTCCGCTTCCCCCCATGCGTGGAAAGGGCGGCCTGGGGAATATGGGACCCGGGGGAGGGCCGGACAGGGGTCTCCCCCTCCTCCGCCTCCCTTTGTACGGGAAGAGTCCCCCTCCCCACCTAAGACACGTGTGAATCTCTTCCCCCCGCGAGACACTCCCGCAGCCTCTTCGCCTTCTGCGGAGCTCCAGGGGTTAAGGAGAGCGAGGGCTGCGTCCTAGAGCGGCAAAATCCAGTTACCCATCTCCCTTTCTGGCCTCCTCTGCAAAGGCAGCCGTGACTTTCGCCCTCCAGCGGCGAAGCGCCTGGTGTTCTCTTGCCGCAGGGAGCCCCCTAGAGGAGTCTGTGTGCATTGCAGGTGGTTATGCAAAGAGGGGGCTAGGAGGAAGGAGACTGTCATATTCTCATGATCAGGAATGTCTGTGGAGATTCTCAGTCATCCAAGTCATGGTTGTCCCAAGGTGCTTTTTTTTTTCTCTCTCAGGAGGGAACTGGACTTTTTTGTTTTTCTCTGAAGACATTTTACTTCTCAACCAAGAAGCTTCCTCAGCTCTGACTGGATGGTGGGGGAAATGGAAGGATTTATACTCCTTGCAGACGGGTGATCATTTGCATTCTTAGAGAAGATATCCCGCAGCCAAGAAGGCTCCACACACATTGGCACTACTTTTTACACTACTTTTGTCTGCAAGGAGTATAAATCCTTCCATTCCCCACCATCCAATCACAGCTGAAGAAGCTTCTTGGATGAGAAGCAAAATGTCTTCGAAGAAAAACAAGAAAGTCCAGTGGCCTACTGGGGGCGGGGGGAATACCTTGGGACAACCGTGGCTTGGAAGACTGAGAATCTCCACAGATATGTAGCATGCACTTTGGAATAAATACCCTTCAAATGGTGCAGGAGTATGAACGGATTTCCAGAAAACATTGCAGACTACAGGAACCATCTGCGCTCCAGTTTGAGATACAGACAACACAGACTCATCCCCAACAGCCTGCACCTGTCTTTGACAGTGAAGGGACGCAGGGCAGAAAACATCCTGCAAGCAAGAAGGCTCCACATCCATTTGCACTACTCAGGTGACCCTGAGGACACAGGTAAACCTCCAGATGGCCTCAACGACTCTTTAAAAGAAGGCAAATGCAGCATCCAAAAGCTACATGATCAAATTTGGACAATTGGCAACTGGCTCATATTTATGATAGTTGCAGTATCCCAGGGTTGTATGAGCATCTTTTGTGACTTTCTGACAAGCAAAATTAATGAGGATGCGACAGTGGTGGGTTTCAGCTGGCTTGCACCAGTTTGGGAGAACCCATAGCTAAATTTACCTAAATGTAGAGAATTGGCTGGTTTCTGGAAGCCCAGTCTAGGCCTTGGAGGCCTCCCAGGCCTAGAACAGCCCACCGGAAGTGTGTTGATGTCACTTCCAGAATGTTCTGGGCATTGGAGGCCCAGGCCTGTATCACATAATAGAACCGGTTGTTCAGGTATTTGAATCCCACCACTGGGAAGCTTGATTCACTTAACAACCATGTTACCAACTTCACAACTGCAGTAGTTCACTTAACAACTGTGGCAAGAAAAGTTGTAAGGTGGCGCAGAATTCACTTAATGGTTCACTTTGAAATATTGGGTTCAAGTGTGGTTGTACATCAAGGATTACTTGTAATCGCTGTCTAATTTCATAGGTTTGCCTGAGGAAGTAAAGCCAGAGTTGCTACTTGCGCTGGGAAGAGCCACAAGGCAACACTGCTTTCTCCCCACTTCCCTAAGCTCTGCACAGCCCCTGCTTTTCTTCAAAGAGCTGTGCAAGTTGAGAGTGAAGGTTCGTTCTCCAAGTTGGTGAGTTGGTTTCTGAACATTTCGTTACCAGATTAGGTAACATCTAGAATCCCCTAAACAAAGCTGAAGATGTTAGCCTGGTAACGTAACGTTTGGAAACCAATTCACAAGCTCAGAGAATGAACCTTCACCCCCATCCTACACTGGAACTACAGATATTCGCCACTATTGCAAAGCTGTGCAGGTTTTTGGCCCCCGAGACGCGAGAGATGGGCTCAAGCATTGAGGCATTTATCTTCCCACTCGCTGTTTGCTCACAAGTTTCCACACTGGTGTTCCAGCTTTCTGCGATTGAGTCACAGCTATCGAGGTCCACAGGCAGCTTCACCCACCCTGCTCCTTAGCCTAGACTAAGGCTTTATAAAACAGTACTAATGTTTCACATGATCCCTCTGTTAATGCAGCCTAGGATTATATTGGCTTTTTTGGTGACTTTCTGTTCATTGCTGTCTACTCCAGTAATTTCTTGATTTTTTTTTCTTGAATATTGTATTTTATTTTCATCCCCACAGATTTTCAAATGTCTCCCTTCTTGCTTGATAATTTGCAATCTTGGCAAATAGAATTGTTTTCATTCTCATTTTCTACATATCTCTTAATTCGGGACAAAGAGAAAGGAGGAAGGAAATCACTTTTAATTATGTACCAATCAGTGGAATAATTCGATAACACATTCCATCTCTCCCTCATCTATATCTATATAAATAAAAATGTAAATGTTCGTTTGTTCAAAATCTTAAATCTCTGAAAGTTCTTCACTGATTGCTTTGAAATTTTGACACAATGTTGCATTCGAATACATGTGTTTGTATATACCTATATTATACAGATGTCACACCTGTGACAGGTAAAAAAATGCTTTTGTGACAAACAGCACCATCTGTTGGACGTAAAAGCAACACACGCTACGATTTTAGACAATCTCTATATCTGCACAGACAGTGGAACAAAAAAAAAATATTGTATACCCACAAGCATTGTGAAATTAAACATATTACAAACATGCGCTTTCTCTTTTCTTTCTTTTCCATTTAACCAGACTGAGCCATAGCAACACGTGGCCGGGAACAGCTAGTATTTAATATAATGAAGTTCATTGCTCTTTAAGCTCTTTCCAAGCTCCTCAGATTTATATGATTTCTCTTCTGCATAGCTTGATGAGTCCTTTGTGCTCCCTGAGTTTGGTTGTTTTCTTGCAGATGATTCATTACCCAAACTAGCTAATATCTTCAGGGCTAATGACACTGATGACTAGCATTAATAATGTTACCTAGTTTGGGCAATGAAACATCTGTAAGAAAACAACCAAACTGAGGGAGCACAAAGGTCTCCTCATTTCAACTGAGCTACAAATAATCTCCTTTATTGGTCTGTATGGATCTTTTTATGAAATGTAAGGGAACAATAATTACTGAAGTTCTTCCCACACTCCACACATTTATATGGCTTTTCCCTTGTGTGAACTCTTTTATGTGAATTTAGAAAACTGGGATTTGTAAAATCCTTTCCACATTCCACACATTTATATGGCTTCCCTCCTCTATGGATCCAGTAATGGGAGCTAACTAGACTGCTATGAGTAAAGGCTTTTCCGCACTCTCTGCATTTATATGGTTTCTCCCCCATGTGGATCCTTTTATGTTTAGTAAGGGATCGATTTTCATGAAAGCTCTTTCCACACTCCATGCATTTATATGGCTTCATCACTGTGTGGGTCTTTCTGTGTTTCCTAAGGGCTGAGTTGTCCGTGAAGCTCTTTCCACAATCCATGCATTTACACGGCTTCTCCCCTGTGTGCATCCTTTTATGGGAAGTGAGAGACCTTCTCTGAGAAAAGGTCCTTCCACATTCCGTGCATTTATATGGCTTCTCCCCCATGTGGGTCCTGTTGTGGTAAGTAAGTTGACTTCTACAAGTAAAGTCCTTTCCACACTCTTCACATTTATAAGGTCTCTCTCCTGTGTGGATCTTTTTATGGAAAGTAAGGTGATTGCTGTAAATAAAAGTCTTTCCACACTCTTTGCATCTGTATGGTCTCTCCCCTGTGTGGATCCTTTTATGGCAAGTAAGGTCACTTCATGGATCCACTTGTGTGAATTAAGACTACCCTTTTGCGTAAAAGTCTTTCCACACTCAAGGCACATATATGGCTTTTCCCCCGTGTGGACCCTGTTATGGCGAGTAAGCTGAGTGCTTCTTCTAAAACATTTTCCACATTCAAAACATTTATATGGCTTCTCTTTTTTCTGGATCATTTTATGAGATAGAAATGATGCATTTTCACAAAGGACAGTGAAAGCCGAATTGTAATGTTTCCCATTGATGGTGCGTGTATAATTCCTTTTGCTTTGGTCATGATGGCTTTCCTTTATATCCGATTGGTCTTTTAGCAGTTTTACAGTATTCCTAATATTTTTTTTCTCTTTTTCTTTTCGTTGGGCAAAAAAATGTTCCATCGGAGCATCAGTGGAAGATGATTTTTTTTGTTTCCAATTATTTGACAGATTTCTTTCATGGCTTTCTAGTTCTGTTTGAATTGCAGGTCTCTGTGTTCTGTCACCAAGATGTAAGATCACTTGGAATGGCTCCTTGGAATCGTTAATCTCCTGCCCATTATTGCCTTCAAAGGAAAACAGAAATGAAAATGATAGCAAGGTGAAGGAAAAGGATCCAACTATAGCAAGACAAATACATTTCCTTTTGCAATTTTCCAAATGCCAACATCTTGGAGGCTTGCCTAGCTACAGTAGTGTGGTATAGAAAAAAATGTCTACATTCATGAGCTACAAACTTTGAAAATATCTAAAACATCTTTTTTGTTTGATTGGGGAGTAGCACTCTCTTACCCAGAGAGGTCACGTTCCTATAGTTTTCCAGCAAGACTTCCCAATTCAGTGCTTTTTGGTCAGCATCCAGCTGAGTCCACTCCTCCTCGGAGAAATACACAGCCACCTCCTCGAAGGATACAGGACCCCCCTGAACAAGGAAAAAGCAGAACGGAGGGAGGAATTGGAAGATCTATCCTATTGTCTAGAAATTTCCAAACCAAAACATTGCAAAGGTTTTATCAACATATAGAGATGGCCCTTGACTTATAACCACAACTGAGCCAAAATTTCTGTTCCTAAGCAAGATAGTTATTAAGTGAACTTTGCACCATTTGATGACTTTTCTTGCTACAGATATGAGTCGCTGAAATTAAATTAGTCCCATGTTTATTAAATGAAACTGACTTCCCCAATGACTTTGGTTGTCAGAAGGTCACAAAAGGGGATCACACAACCCCAGGACACAGCAATGGTCATAAATAGGAGCCAGTTGCCAAGCATCTGAATATTGATCACATGACCATGGGTGTTGTGTCCTGAGCCTGCGAAGGCAGGCTCGGGACGTTGCAACAGTCCCGGGCAGCTGCAAGCTGCCCGGGACCAGACTGGTCAGCGCCAGCACTCGTGCACATGCGCGAGGTGCTCAGCACACCAAAATGTATCTTTTTGGCCCGGGGAACGTCCTTAAGAGAGGCTGAGAGATCTGTGCTGCCTTGAGTTGTAACGGGGCTACTGAAGACCAATAAAGCGTTCCTGAAACAACAAGAATGTCTCGCGCCGTCATTGCCATTAACCAAGGACTCAACACTGGCGACGAAGGCGGGATTGCCTTGCAATTACGCAGACAATTGTAAGCTTACCCTGGAGTCCAGCACAGCGAGGAAACGGTGTTAAATTCAGCAACTGCCTGCCAATACAGCTTCGTTGGAGGTAAGCTGGCTGATAGACCCTTCCTGCTTTACTAAAGATGGCAAAGATTGGAAAACTTTCAGAGTTTGATATTACACATCCCGAAAGATGGGAATCTTACGTGGCCCGAGCAGAAAATTATTTCAGAGTTAATCAAGTAAGAGAAGATGGCTTAAAGGCTGCCACCCTACTCTGTGTTTGTGGTCAAGATGCATTTGAAATTGCTGAAAACTTAGTAGCCCCTGCACCTCTTGAATCTGTTACCTACACAGATCTTAAGAATTTACTGAAAGAGCATTTTCAACCCAAGTTGTCTGTTATTGCTTGGAGACATACTTTTGAACAGCGGGATCAACAGGCTGGTGAATCAGCTAAAGAGTACATTGCTGCATTAAGAAGGGCAGCTAAGCATTGTGAATTTAAAGATTTAGAGGAAAGACCGAGAGACAGATTTGTATGTGGACTGAGAAACAGAGATATACAACAAAGACTTTTTGCCAAAGAGGACATATCATTCCAAGATGCCTTGAGAGAGGTTACTGCAGAAGAGGCAGCAAGTGGGGCAATCAAGAATATGAGGCCTATCAAAAGCTCTCCAGAAGCTGTTTCCGTGCACCAAGAGGGAGTTCAAGGAAGCTCAGAAGAAGAGCCTGATGAAGAAATAGATCATCTCTACCCAACCAAAGAAGGAAAGCAGAGGGAAGGCAAAGAAAAGTCTTCAACTGTACCCAAGTGCTTCGGGTGTGGAGGTCGCCACAAGAGGACCAACTGCAAGATCCGTTCTGCAATCTGTAGAGCATGTGGGAAGCAAGGCCACATAGCAGCTGTATGTCTGGGCCGACAGAAGGTACAACCCCGAGAAGAATTGCGCCTGAAAGGTACCAGGGTCCCCAGCCAAAACAGGGTGGGTTTCTGTACTTCACGAAGAAGCATTTATAGGACAGGCACACACAGACCACTCAAAAAGAAATTGTCACTTAGGGTGAAGTTGCAAGGAGTTCCATTGGTCATGGAGCTAGACACTGGGTCTGCACTTTCAATCATTTCTATTCACACATTCAAAAAGATTTTCAGAGGCTCCTGCTGGGTTGAAGCTGTTTATTCAAATATTACCCCTGAATGATTCTCTGTCAAAATGGAGAAAAGGTACCAATTCCATTTTTCTGCCAGTTATTGTTCAATTTTCATTAGAGAAATAGGAATAAGAGTGGCAGTTATACAAAATTAGACGACAATTGTACTAAGGTAATACTGTATGGAACAAAACTGACTGAATCTGGATGTTCTGCTTTGGATACTGCGGAGCCTCCGCCCAGAAGGTAACAAGGAAAACAGGTCATGAAGAGGATGTGTAGTGTCCCAGACAATCTTACGGACCCTGCTCAAGCAACGCTTACGTGCCATGTCCTGGATGGGAGGGAACTGCCAATAATCTTTTCAACCATCCTCACTCTGCACTCCCTTCCTGTCTGAAGCAGTGATGCTTCTAAACTAGACCGTGATGCTGTATGACAGGATGCTCTTGATCGCCTCTCTGAAGAAAGTGGTAAGGATTTTCTGCGACGCAGAAAATGCAGATACTGCTGTGCAAGCCAGCCTACTTGTTAACTTCCCACCCAGGAATTTGATGCTGGTAACCATCTCCACAGGTGACTCATTAATGCACAGAGAACTGTCGCTGTGCCTGCTTTTTCTAAAATTGACAATGATCTCTTTGGTTTTTCCAATTAGTGACTTTTACTTTAGTTTGACCCAGAACCATCCATGAGCAATATTTGAATAAATAGCCCTGGAAACCCTGAAATTTGCCTCCCACCCAAATACTTCCAAAAATTTCATGTGTAATTGTTAGGGTAATTCTTATTATCATACACAATCCAAACATAGACAGCATTTCTTTTTCCCACAAAAAAACTGTTTTAGTGTACAAATTCAAAATCCTACTTCTTACTGACTGCTAATTAATACAGCCAAAAAGAATTTAATACATGCCAGGAAAGTAACCGTGTCATTGATGTTTAATTAACTTTATTGAAATTAACTACAGACATCTTAGCCCACATCACAATATACAAAGGAAATAAGGCCCTAATGTTTGAAAAAGTTCTTTGTGTATGTATTTCAGAGGCTTCTCATTCTGACATCTTTTGTGAAAAGAATTCTTCATCCTGAAGTCCTTCACACTGTATATTGAAATGTATGTGACAATATTCCTGTATCATAAGAGATTTTTGACTGAAAAAGATTCCATGCTTCTGCATTCATACTGGTTGTTTGAGGTTTCAATTCTATGCCCTAGATGTGAATTTGATTAGTTTTTTGGTATCTTCACATCCCAGAGGAAGTTCCCATTCTCATTTCTGTCTATTTGGTCAGGAAGAATTGAAATATTTTTTGTAATAATGTTTCTTGATTGCATGTTGTTTTGATCCTCACTGATTTCCAAAGGTGCCCCTTCTTGCTTGATCATTTGCAATGTCAGCACACTGGAATCACTTTCATTCTCATTCCACTGAGTATCCCTAACTTGGGATGAGAGACAGAAAACACACAGAGAGAAAATTATGAAAAATTCAAAGCACAAATATCCTTTTAGTTGTCAGTTTTAATTTAATAAGAATTATTCAATGGGAAAATGCAATATCACATTCCATCCCACTCTGTATACCGATAGAATTTGAATTCCCTTTAAATTATAATATTGCTTCAGTTCCCAGAATCTCTGCTACAACATTTCTAATATTTTCTGAAAACAGAGAAGCGTAGGGTCCTCTGATAAACTGTGAACATATTAAGGAATGAGAAAAGGAGGGGAAAATAAATGTAAGAAGACTAAGGAAAAGAAGCAAAGTTTAAACTATGAGAAATGATAGTGGATCACTCCCAAGACCATGATTAGATGGGAAGAACAAACAACTGGGGAGCAGGAAACACACTTGTAAAAAACAATAAAAACATTTTCATAAAATTGCATAGACCAGACTAAAAAGATTAAAAACTCGAAAGTTCCTAGAGCAGGAGTGTCAAACTGTCGGCCCGTGGACCAAGTGCATGATCAAGAGCCGAGGTGGCGCAGCAGTTAGAGTGCAGTACTGCAGGCCACTTTAGCTGTGTTCAGCAGGTCAGTGGTTCAAATCTCACCGGCTCAAGGTTGACTCAGATTGTTGGGGGCAATGTAAATATATATATACATTGCTTACTGGTGTACACCGCTTAGAGAGTGCTTGCACTTAAAGTGGTATATAAGCCTCATAAATAAATAAATAAATCATATGGATGCTGCGCCCACTCCAGTTCCGGCAATATGAAAAAAATCATGATATGTCATGCCACGTAACGTGGCGAGTTTGACACCCATGCCCGAGAGGTTCAGTATATAAAGGAAATACATAGAATTTACCAACTAATTCCGGAATTGACATTGATTCTTACCCAAATGGATCTGTGTATGAGAAATTAGGTCATTGCTCATCCTGAAGCTGTTTCCAAGCTCCGCATATTTGTATGGCTTCTCTCCTGTGTGAATCCTTTTATGGGAATTAAGATTACCCCTCTGAGTAAAGCCCTTTCCACACTCCAGGCATTTATATGGCTTTTCCCCTGTGTGAGTTCTTTTATGGGAATTAAGATGACTGCTATTAGTAAAGCCCTTTCCACACTCCAGGCATTTATATGGCTTCTCTCCTGTGTGAGTCCTTTTATGGGAATTAAGATGACTGCTATTAGTAAAGCTCTTTCCACACTCCAGGCATACATATGGTCTCTCTCCTGTGTGAATCCTTGTATGTCTCATAAGCGAAGCCTTTTGACAGAACCCCCTTCCACAGTCTACACATTCATATGGCTTTTCCCCTGTGTGGATTCTTTTATGAACAGTAAGAGACCCACTTTCACAGAAGCTCTTTCCACACTCCATACATTTATACGGCTTCTCTCCTGTGTGGATCCTTTTATGAACAGTAAGAGACCCGCTTTCACAGAAGCTCTTTCCACACTCCATACATTTATAAGGTTTCTCTCCAGTGTGGGTCCTTTTATGAGAAGTAAGAGTACTGTGGTAGCTGAAGCCCTTTCCACACTCCATGCATTTATATGGCTTCTCTCCTGCATGGATCCTTTTGTGGGAATTAAAATGACTGCTCTGAATGAAGGTCTTTCCACACTCCACGCATTTGTATGGCTTCTCCTCTGAATGGATCCAGTTATGGGAAATAAGATCGCTGCTGTTAGTAAAAGCCCTTCCACACACTCTACATTTATATGGCTTCTCCCCTGTGTGAATCCTTTTATGACAAGTAAGATTACTGCTCTGAATAAAGGTCTTTCCACACTCTGTGCATTTATATGGTCTTTTCCCAGCATGGATCATTTTATGGAAAGTGAAAGAGCTATTTTGACTGAAGACTTTTCCACACTCCACACATTTATACGGCTTTTCCCCTGTGTGGATCCTTTTATGTCTTATAAGGGATGAATTGTCACCGAACCCCTTTCCACACTCCAAGCATTTATATGGCTTCTCCCCTATGTGGATCTTTTTATGGGAAGTAAGGTGGCTGCTATTTGTAAAGCACTTTCCACACTCCATGCATTTATATGGCTTCTCCCCTGTGTGGATCCTTTTATGGGAAGTAAGATGACTGCTCTGAATAAAGGTCTTTCCACACTCCACACATTTATATGGCTTCTCCCCTGTGTGGATCCTTTTATGGGAAGTAAAGTAACTCTTTCGACTGAAGCTGCTTCCACACTCCATGCATTTATATGGCTTCTTTGTTGTATGGGTCAGTTTATGTGAGGTAAGAGATCCAGTTCCATGAGAAAGAGTGAAAGTCCAATTGTAACTTTTTCCATTGTCTCTACATATATACTCATCTTTTGTTTCGATTGGATAATGTTCATTTACATCTAATTTATCACTGAATAGTCTTACACTTTCCCCAAAGTCGTTTTTCTTTATTTTCCCATATTCAGCAAGAAGGTCTTGCATTGGAGCATCAATGGAAGATGAACTTTCCTTGTTCCAATTAATTGACTGGCTTCTCTCATGGCTTTCTAGTTCTGTCTGCATTACAGGCTTCTTTGTGTTGTCTCCAGAAGTGTTCATTAGGAATGGTTCCCCAGAATCCTCATTTTCCTGCCCATTATTACCTTCAAAGGAAAAGAGAAATGAAAATGATAATAAGGTTAGAAAAAAGATCAAACTGTGGGAAGTCCTATGAATTTCCTTACGGAACTCTGCCAAATTCCATCATTCCAATATCTTTAAGTTCTTCATGCTTGCAGTGGCATGGTATGGATATAATTTCTACATTTACGACTCAGAAAAAAATTGTAAACATTTAAAACATTCTGAAAAGACCTAAAGCATCCTGAAAAGATCTATAGGATCCTTTTTCTTGATAATTATTCATATATATTCAAATCTTATTCATAGCTTGAATTAAGGAAGAATCATGGGGAAACATCCAAGGAATCAGGTCAAACTTTTATTATAATCACTGACCAGCATTATGAGTGAGATACAACCAATTAGTAATTTCTTTAAAATGCTAAAAGATATAAAATTTGTACATAAGAACAAAAATACTGGATTAAATATTAAATTATTAATTTAATTATCTACTAATGATTATGATTATATCATAAACTATTTAGATGAGGGCATAGAAGGTGAACTTATCAAATTTGTAGACAACACCAAGCTAAGAGGAATAGCTGACACTTTAGAACAGTGGTTCTCAACCTTTTTAATGCCGCGACCCCAACCGGTCGTAAGTCAGGGACTACTCAACCGGTCGTAAGTCGAGGACTACTCAACTGGTGCAGCACCGTTTGCAGAATGGCACTTTTGGTGGGCTCAGCAGGGCAGAGACAGCCTGGACAATTCCTATAGACTCTATTCAAGAGAGTCTATTCTATTGGCTTTCAAAAGCCAATAGAATAAAAGGGAGTAGCACAGCTAAGGAAAAGGGGGGGAAAAAAGGCGGACTGCGTTGTTTAGCGACCTCCGTGAAATGGTCGTTCGACCCCAATTGGGGTCCCGACCCGCAGATTGAGAACCACTACTTTAGAAAATAGGCTCAAAAGCCAGAAGGATCTAGACAATCTGGAACACTGGCCTCTCTGCAATAAAATGCAATTCAGTGGCGAGAAAAGTAAAGTTTTACACAGGCAAGAAAAACTGAATGCACAAGTATAGACTAGGTGGCACATGAGTCCACAACAGTAACTGTGAAAGGGATTTAGGATCCCTAGGGGACAACCATTTAAATATGAGCCAGAAGTGTGCTGAAGCTGCCAAAAAGGCCAACACAATCCTAGGCTGCATCAACAGAGGAATAGTATTAAGGTCATGTGAAGTATTAGTACTGCTATACACTGCTTTAGTAAGACCACACTTGGAATATGCATCCAATTTTGGTGCCTGCGATATAAAAAAAGATATTGAGACTCTAGAAGGAGTGCAGAGAAAAGCAACAAAGAAGATTAGGGGGTTGGAGGCAGAAACGTATGATGAACCATTGCAGGAACTGGATATGTCTAATGAAGAGAAGGACTAGGGGTGACATAACAATCTTTCAATGTTTGAAGGGCAGTCACAAAGAAGAGAGAAACAACCTGTTCTGCAAAGCCCCTGAGGGAAAGTAATGGATGGAAACTTATCAAAGATTCATCCTAGAACAGTGGTGGAGAACCTATGGCATGGGTACCAGAGGCGGCACTCAGAGCCCTCTCTGTGGGCATGCGCGCCATTGCCCCAGTCCTAGGCCTTCAGCTGGGTTTTATTTCGCTTTAGGCCTCTGCCGCCGTGTGCCAAAAAAAAAAGGTTCAATCAATCAGTCAATTTCAACTTCTTGCAGGAAAAAAAAAGATCTTGCAAAGTTGGAATTGATTGATTGAACTTTTTACTCCCACCCAATCTGCTGTTGCCACCGCAGCCACGCCCAGCCAATGGGCCACGCCTAGCCAATGGGCCACACCCAGCCAATGGGCCACACCCAGCCAATGGGCCACACCCACCCGGCACCTGACGATGCATAAGTGGGTTTTGGGTTGCAGTTTTGGCACTCGGTCTCTAAAAGGTTCGCCATCACTGACCTAGAACTAAGGAGAAATTTCCTGTCAGCGAGAACATATAATCAGTGGAATGGGTTGTCTACAGGTTGAGGGTCCATCATCACTAGAGGTTTTTAAGAAGAGGTTGGACAGCTATTTGTCAGGAATGGTATAGGATATCCTCCTTGAGCGACGTGGTATGTGTGTGTGTTGGGCTAGAAAAACCTCCAAGATCCCTCCCAACTCTATTATTCTGTTATTCTATTGAAAAGCATAAAAGTAGATGAAAGTCTAATTTTTAAAAAAAAAAATAAAAGAAATAGATAGAAAATCTAAAGAGTTTAAAGAGGAAAAAAATCTAAAGGGAGAGGTGAACACAATATATGGCAAAATGAATCTATCACAATAGAAATTATTATTCTATAAAAAATTAGAGGCTCATTAAAACTAGTCTATTGCCTAACGCAGTGATGGCGAACCTTTTAAAGACCGAATGCCCAAACTGCAACCCCAAACCCACTTATGCATTGTCGGGTGTGGCCTATTGGGTGCATGTGGCACATTGGGTGGGTGTGGCTGTGGTGGTAACAGCAGACTGGGTGGGACTAAAAAGTTCAATCAATTCCAACTTTGCAAGATCTTTTTTTATTTCTCACGAGAAGTTGAAATTGACTGATTGATTGAATCTTTTTTTTGTACACGGCAGTGGAGGCCTAAAGTGAAAAGGTTTTATAAAACCCAGCTAAAGGCCTAGGACTGGGACGACAGCGCACGTGCCCACTGATAGGGCTCTGAGTGCCGCCTCTGGCACCCGTGCCATAGGTTCGCCACCACTGGCCTAAGGTATCATCATCTAACATATTGTAATCACTACTGCGCAGAACATGGCTGCATTATACACTGTAGCAGGGTTGCTTATCTGCAAGCAGCAGCGAGATATAGAATTGTCTTATGTGCTTGAAATTTATACAATAATGGTGAAATTAAATTAGTATGACTGTCTCTGTGGTACCCATGTTTCCCTGAAAATAAGACCGGATCTTTCTTTTTTTTTGCCTCTAAAAGAGGCATTAGGTTTTATTTTCGGGGTAGGTCTTACTCACCTCCAGCACTGACAGCCCCACCCAATAGGTCCACTTCTTCTGGGGCTGAAGGAGCTTTATTCTACAGCTGCATTCCAGCCTGCATTTTGCAATAAGGCCTTTCCAGAAGGCCTATGCAGCCAAGAACCAAGCTATGGATTGAATCCATAGCTCGGTCCTTGGCTATATAGGTCTTGCAGAACCCAGCTAAGGATTGAATCCATAGCTCGGTTCTTGGCTGCACAGGCCTTCTGAAAAGGCCTGTGACTGAAAAATGCAGGCCTGGCTGCAAAAGATGTTGCAGAAGAAGTGGGCCTGCGAGGAGAGGCCTGGCTGCTAGGTAAGTGGGTGCAGGGTATGTGGGGCAGATCCACATCCCTACCCCTGCCCTAGCTTGTTTTTTAGGTTTGTGCCTCACTCGAAAACTAGGGCTTATTTTTGGGGTAGAGCTTACATTAGGGCCACCCCCAAAAATCAAGCTAGGGCTTATTTTCGGAGTAGGCCTTACTTTCAGGGAAACATGGCACAGGCACTGGAGATGTGCATGTTGTATTATTCCACATGCGCAGAGTCATAGGGACATTGTCTGTCCAGGTAGGGAATTTTCCTGCATTAGCCTTCAAGGATAGCTGAGAGGCAATCATGACATTTGTCAGAGCAAATGTTGTCCAGTTAGATACTGTGTTTCCCCGAAAATAAGACCCACCTTGAATTCTGGGGTTGGGTCTAATATAAGCCCTACCCCAAAAATAAGCCCTACTTAAGATCCCGCCTACTTCACCCTACCATAGGTTTTTTGGCAGGCCGGATCGTGTGCCTCCCCCCCCCCGCCTGCTGCCAGCGCCGCCGCTGTGAGATGGCCTGAATGATAAGAGAGCTGGGGCCTGAGGCAAGCAGAGGTTGTCTTTTTTCTATCCCTGCCCTGGATTGAGGAATGCAGCGGGCAGACGGGGGTGGGGACTGGCCGGGACCTCAACCATCAGCTTTTCTCTTTCACCCTCACCCCGATGCATCCTCTGGAGGCAGCCTGCACTGCCCCGCAGGCTTTGCCACTTTCTCTTCCTCTGCAGAAGGGCAGGGAAGAAAGCTGGGTGTCCTGAGACGTTCCACTCTGGGAGACGACTCAGGTTTCCCTCGGTGGGGGAGGAAGTCTTTGGAAACTGCCTTTTCATTTATATTCATCATCCATATTATAATCCATCCCTTTATTTTTCAAAAAAATAATTTGTATTTACCACGATTAGCCTCCTTGAATGCCAATAGGAAGGCACGTTATGGTTTCTGCACATGAGCCACGGAAATACAAACACTTGCACCCTTAAAGCTCACGCTGCTTTCTCGTTCAGGGCGCACCATTGCTTCACAGGTGCGTTCAACTTTGCGGCTCAGCTAAACTCTTCTGCTGCAGCGGGCCGCTGTTCCCATTATCTCCAGGAAGGCTGGGCAATGGAAACCTTAGGCCAGTTCCTTGTGGCTGAAGCAATCCGGTTCGCCCGGGATCAGGTTGGCCATCATGGGAGGCATGGTCCATCCCTATCCTCCAGGTTTGCCGCACATTCAGGACAAGCTGCCCGCAACGGTCAACCTGACCCTGGGCGAGCCAGATTGCTTACAGGGAGAGGTTGTGCATTGCAGGAGGATGACTGCAAAGGGCGCACATGGATCCCTGCAGCTCCTGGAGGCTCCAAGCGTTGTTTTTGGTGCCGCATGTGTGTATGCGTCTGCCTCGCTGTTTTCGGCAGTGCTTGGTTTCCACCCCATCCCTGCCAGGCTGATCTGGTCAGCGGAATTGCCTTCGCCTTCCCTGTCACTGGTTTGGCAGCTAATGCTGCCCTCCTGAGAGGTGGTGCAGCGATTGGATAGTGGCCACGCTATGAATGGGGATAGACCATCCCCTAAACCTTAGTCATCCTCTCCACGACGTGCTGCAGCTGATCCGAAGCGCCATCGCAAACAATGAGGCAGATGTGCCCACACACACGGTGCCAAAAACAGCACTCGGAGCCTCCAGAAGCTGCTGTAGGGATCTGCACACGCCCTGCAAAGCAGTGGTGTGCTCCGAACCAGGAAGTGGCATGAGCTTTGAGGATGCGACTGTCTGTATTTCCGTGGCTCATGCACAGAAATCACACCACGCCTTCCCTTTGGCGTTCAAGGAGGCTAATAGCAATAAATACAAATCATTTTCTTTTAAAAAATAAAGGGACGGATTACGATATTTATGAATATAAATGAAAAGGCAGTTTCCAAAGCCTTCCTTTCCCCACTGAGGGAAACCTGAGTCACCTGGGGGGGCTATGCCTTGTAGTGAAACAATAAGACATCCCTGAAAATAAGCCTTAATGGGTCTTTTGGACAAAAAATAAATATAAGACCTGGGCTTTTTGGGGGAGAAACATACTACAAGGTTGGTTTAGTATGCCATAGTGGAGGCCGAGTACCTGTTGAGTTCATTGACAATTGCACTTTGTGTCTGTTACACCCATTTAATGGATGCCTTGTCTTAATCATATTTAATGCTGAGGAAAAGATTGGAGAGACACCCAAAGTTAAGAGTTTAGTTACTATTGCCTTTTTCAATATGGACAGAAAAATCATCCCTCATAGTTAATGAGGCAAGGCCAAAGAGAAGAAAAGATGTGCCAACAGTTGAGCCACCAAGTCTAGTCTGCACTTTCATGAGGCCAGTCTCCCATCTTGGGGTGGCATTAATAACACATTTTAGGGCTTGAAGGACGACCTTAGAAATTTGGATTACGTCCTAATGCTGAAAAATTGGAGAAGAAACCCTGCTGCCTTCATATACTAATCCTGCTAAAACATATGTTGCCAGGTTCTATGCAGCAGTACTTAAAATCTGTCAGCTGATGCCATAAACTAGTTTTAATGAGCTTCTAGTTCATGATTTAAGAACATCCAAGGAGGTATTAGGTGAAAAGCTAATATTTATCAGAGGGGACCCAATTCCAGAAGAGACTTATAAGAACTACATTGTTTCCGAAACAAGTCCTTTTCTTCCCATCCAAATAATGTTCACCCTGATGGAGTTGAGTATCTCTTCAAAGCCTTACCCAGAGAGGCCATGTTCCTATAATTTTCCAGCATGACTTCCCAATGCAATGTTTTTTGGTGAGCATCCAGCTGAGACCACTCATCCTTGGAGAAATACACAGCCACCTCCTCGAAGGACACAGGACCCTTCTGAACAAAACAAAACAAAACAAAAGAACAAAAAAAACAGGCTCAGTACGATTTGCAAGATCTGTTCCATAGTCTAGAAATCCCCAAAGGAAAGATATGGGCCAAATTAAATGTCTGTGCCTGGTTGAATTCCAAGCTTTAGGTGAGAAAACGGACAGAGCCTAAAGCCTTTGACTCAGTGGTTCTCAACCTTTTTAATGCCGCGACCCCCAACCGGTCGTAAGTCGAGGACTACTCAACCGGTCGTAAGTCAAGGACTACTCAACTGGTGCAGCACCGTTTGCAGAATGGGACTTTTGGCGGGCTCAGCAGGGCAGAGACAGCCTGGACAATTCCTATTGGCTTTTGAAAGCCAATAGAATTAGACTCTATTCAAGAGAGTCTATTCTATTGGCTTTCAAAAGCCAATAGAATAAAAGGGAGGAGCACAGCTAAGGAAAAGGGGGAAAAAATGGCGGACTGCGTTGTTTGGCGACCCCCGTGAAATGGTCGTTCGGCCCCAAATGGGGTCCCGACCCACAGGTTGAGAACCACTGCTTTGACTGAAGAAATATTTCAGGCAGGTTTTTATCAACCTGTCTCAGTCTAATAAAGGAGAGTTGAAATGAGGGATCCTTGTGGCCTCTGAGCTTGATTGTTTTCTTGTAGACGTTTCACTACACAAACTCATCAGTGCTAGTGAAGATGTTACCTAGAGCCGAGGTGGTGCAGCAGTTAGAGTGCAGTACTGCAGGCCACTTTAGCTGACTGTGTTCAGCAGGTCAGCAGTTCAAATCTCACCGGCTCAAGGTTGACTCAGCCTTCCATCCTTCAAGGGTAGGTAAAATGAGGACCCAGATTGTTGGGGGCAATGTAAATATATATATATATACATTGCTTACTGGTGTACACCGCTTAGAGAGTGCTTGCACTTAAAGCGGTATATAAGTCTCATAAATAAATAAATAAATAAATAAATAAATAGTTTGGTAAGGAAATATCTGCAAGAAAACAACCAAGCTCAGAGACCACCCAGGACCCCTCATTGATTGATTCTGCAGGACTTTCAAAACCGTTCAGTGAAAGGAGCCTCAGTTTCCTTCTGGACGGATCAATTTGTCTATCTGTCTTGTCTGTATAATTATCTATGTGTCTCCATCCATCCATCACCCATCATCAATTATCATACTCTCTCAGGATCTGGAGAAAATCAACTTATAACAATAATAATAGTAAAGTTGGAAGGGACTTTGGAGGTCATCTAGTCCAACTCCCTGCTCAGATAGGAAACCCTACACCATTTCGGACAAATGGCTGTCCAGTCTCTTCTTAAAAACTTCCAGTGTTGGAGCATTTACTGCTTCTGGAGGCAAGCTGTTCCACTGATTAATTGTTCTCACTGTCAGGAAGTTTCTCCTTAGTTCTATGTTGCTTCTCTCCTTGATTAGTTTCCACCCGTTGCTTCTTGTCCTGCCTTCAGGTGCTTTGGAAAATAGCTTAATTCCGTCTTCTTTATGGCAGCCCCTGAGATATTGGAATACTGCTATCATGTCCCCCCTTGTCCTTCTCTTCGTTAAACTAGACATACCCAATTCTAGCAACCGTTCCTTATATGTTTTAGCCTCCAGTCCCCTAATCATCTTTGTTGCTCTTCTCTGTAATCTTTCTAGAGTCTCAACATCTTTTTTACATCGTGGTGACCAAAACTGGATGCAGTATTCCAAGTGTGGCCTTGGCATTGTAGAGTGGCATTAATACTTCACGTGATGAAGTATTGCAGACAGGCCTCTCAGAAACACCAGTCCTTCCTATGCAGAAGGAAATCGGGGGAGGGGAATTCTTTCCAGCATTCCAGCAAACAGCTGGCTTAGGACAGGGGTGGGTAACCTTGGCTCTTTTATGACTCGTGGACTTCAACTCCCAGAATTCCTGAGCCAGCGTGGCTCAGCTAGAAAACCTCTCCCTTTCCCCTCAGCATGGCTGGCTCAGGAATTCTGGGAGTTGAAGTCCACGAGTCATAAAAGACCCAAGGTTGCCTACCTCTGGCCTAGGCCTAGGCCGCTTTATGACTCATGGACTTCAACTCCCAGAATTCCTGAGCCAGCATGGTTCAGCTTAGAAACCTCTCCCTTTCCGCTCAGCATGGCTGGCTCAGGAATTCTGGGAGTTGAAGTCCACGAGTCATAAAAGAGCCAAGGTTGCCTACCCCTGGCTTAGGGTGTCCCGAGAAGGATCAGTTCTGTTCATGTTCATCACCTTCATGAAAGTACTGGGAGATCTTGGGTCTGGCTTCCAAATCTAGGCACAAATCAGTGGAATACAAATTACTTTGCAAGCCATAGCTGGCCACCTTCTTTGGATTTTAATAGTCTGCATAATCATTTAATCCAGGGGTGTCAAACTGCTGGCCCATGGGCCGGATACATCATCTGGAACCTGCGCCCACCCCATTGCCGGCAATGGCAAAACCGCCCGATATGTTGCGCGACGTCATGTGACGTTGCAAGTTTGACATTTCTTATCACTGATTATGAACAAGGCTTTTAAAAAATGTGCCATTGTTGAGTATTTAGTTATTTTTGAACCACATCGTTCAATTTCAAGTTAAAGAATTAGCAAAAGAATGGGTCTTTGTTTAGCAGTTGTTACATTTATGATAATGCTGCTCCGATCCATTGAAGCCTTTTAAAAAAAATTAAACGTTATAAAGTAGGGAGGGTAGCTAGTGCAAAGAGAGTTAAGAACCAGTCTTTAAAAAATTCCTATTAAGAATCTTAGAGTTGAAATAACAAAACAATGTATCTTAAATACAGACTTATTTATTTATTTATTTATTAAATTTATAAACCGCTCCACTCCTGCAGGACTCCGGGCGGCTAACAATAAAAACACAATATAACTTAACAAGACAAACAATACAGTAACATTCATCCAGGGGTCAGATTTTATAAACCCCAGGCCTGCCAGAAAAGCCAGGTCTTAAGCAGCTTGCGGAAAACCAACAGGGTAGGAGCGGTCCTAATCTCTGGGGGGAGCTGGTTCCAAGACGTGGGCGCCATCACAGAGAAAGCCCTCCCCCGCGGCCCCGCCAAATGGCACTTGATAGGGAGCTAACCTGGCTGAAAGCAACTTAAATCTTCTAGTCCCCTTTCAATTTTGCTACGGAAAAAAGAAAATATCGAAGCCAAAAGACGTGGAAAAAATAGGAGAGATTGTACTCTAGGCTAACTTCACAAAGAAAAGGGAGAATGCAAATCTAATAAAATAAATTTCCCGCTCTTACTTGAGTTTCAGCTGTTTCATCCACTGTTTCAGCACTACCATACAGTCCAGACATTATTCTACGTTTCACTGCAAGGAAGACAGAATTTTAAAATGCATAATTGAAGGAATACGAAGAAGTATTCTATAGGACAGAAACATAATGAAGATTAGAAAAAGAATTTCTCTGGAGAATGAGAGGACCTTAGTTTACCTTCAGAGGTGTCCTGACTTGGATCTTCCTGAAAGATCCTCCTGAAAAACAGCTCCCGAAAGGGATTTGATGGATTCCTCCTTCCCTCGGGATCTCTGATCTCCATATTGAAGGACTTGAAATAGGAGGCAGGAAAATAAGAGAGGAATTAATTGACCTCAATCAACATGAATTAGATTCTTTTTCTCCAAACGTAACTTTAAAGCCCTTTGTTACGTCAGTGATGCTGGAAAGAAAGGAACAGTTGTGCCAAATATAATTTCCAAAATGTATAATGGAACAATGTCTACAAGAATTAATGGAACACATCATATATTATGAAAGCCAAGAAAAGCGTGGTAAGAAGGGTTGAAAAATTCAAACATACAATTTAGTACCTTCAACCCTCTTCTGGCCTCCCTAGTTGAAGGTCTCTCACCTGCAACTTGACCTGCTCCTTCTGCTCCCTTGCCTGGCTCAGGAGGAGACCTTCCGCCAGGGCCACCGCCTGGGAACTGGTCTCGGCTCCACACTCCCGTACCCAACTCTCCATCTGCAAGGGCAGAAGGGCCAGGAGCTGCTCCAGAACAACCAGGTCCAGCATCTGAGCTTTGGTGTGCATTTCTGGTCTCAGCCATCGCCTACAAAAATCGTGGAGTCGGCTGCAAAGTCCTCGGGGACCCTCAGCCTCCTGGTATTGGAGGCTCCTCAAGTTCCAGGACTGAACCTCTGAATGCATAATGGTTTCCTCCTCTAGGATCTTCTGCCCACTTTTTGCCCACGCCTCCCCACAGCTCCCAGACTGAACAGCAGAAGAGCTTTTTCCAGTTCTTTCACTTGCTAAAAGTTGCGTCTCCATTCTGTCTGTGTCCTCTGACATAACTCCAAATCGGTCCAAAGATTGTTGCGGATCTCCAAATGCCTTTTCATTCATAGGACCGATCCTATATAGCCACTGGAATGGTCGCATCAGCTCTTTTCCCCCCCAAGAGATCATTTTACACGCCAAGAGGATCAAATGGCTTCCAGTTTCTGTATCTGAGATGGAAAAGAAAATAAATTCCAAGAATTAGAAAGTGGAGAATTTAACCATTGAGCAACAGTGGAAGAAAGTATTTTTCTAAACTGTTATAGGATTGCAGTGGCATTAAGCAAGTAGGTCCTGTTTTGTGCATATACTGTATGTGTGTATTGGGTCTGCGTGATACACTATTTTTCCTTACAGGAAACCCCAATCTATATTTACCTCCAAGCAAGGTTCACACAACCTGCCAAACCCCAAGAAGGTGAACAAAGCCTGAAAGCTCAGTTCCCGTCCAATGAAATGCCTGGAAACGATCCTGGCTGAAGATGCCCCCTTTCCCTTCTTCTGGGTGACCTTTGGAGATCCGTGTCCCCCTTTGATACGCGTTCACACAATCCTGCCTGCTCGCCCGGCCTCTCTCCTCTCCTGCTGGGCCTCCGCCAGGCCGACCCGACCCTCCCTCCACTCGGCTTCCCCGGACACGGGGCGAGAAGGGACTCCTGGATCCCCGCCGCCTTCCTGGGATCCCTGGTTCTTCTGGTACTGCTGCTGCTCTGGAGCTCTGCTTCCCAACTTCATGGAGAGGGCGGCTGCGGAACATGGGACCCGGGATCACCCCTTCCCCCGCCTTCCTTTGCACGGGAAGAGCCCCTCCCCCCTCACGCGGGGCACGTCTGGTTCCCACCGCTTCTTCGCCTCCCGCGGAGCTCGAAGGGTTAAGGCGAGCGAGTGTGGCGTTCTAGAGCGGCGACCGTTTGTGACGTCATTTCCTTCCCGGCCTCCTCTACAAAGACAGCCGTGACTTTCACCCTCCAGTGGGGGAAAGCTCCTGGTGTTTCCTTCGTTCCTTTCCGGCGCACGCTCAGTTCCCTCCTGAGGCTGAGAGCGTCCCCTCGTGGATTCTGGGCGAAGTGCCGGGATTCCCCGAAAGGGCGGGAAACAGGAGCGCACCTTGAGGGGGAGGGAGAGGGCAGGGATGATGGGCATGGGAGTAGGAACAAAGGGGCTTCTCTTTGGTTGCCTGTCTGAGAAAGATAGCGGCTTCTCCTGAGGAAGGAAAGATTTTCCGGTTAGGAAAATACAAAGATTTCTGTCGGTTTTTATTTCTTTAGTTCAGTGTTTCCCAAACTTGACAATTTCAGTGTTTCCCAAACTTGACAATTTTAAGGCATGAGGACTTCAACTCCCAGAATTCCACAGCCAGCAACGCTGGCTGTGGAATTCTGGGAGTTGAAGTCCACATGCCTTAAAATTGTCAAGTTTGGGAAACACTGCTTTAGTTCAATATTTAATTAAACTGCATCTATGTGGAGGGAAGTGTGTAGTGGGGTGCCCCAGGGCTCTGTTCTAGGCCCAGTGCTCTTCAACATCTTCATCAACGATCTGGACGAGGGGATAGATGGGGAACTCACCAAATTTGCAGACGACACCAAGCTGGCAGGAATAGCCAACACTCCAGAAGACAGGTTTAGGATACAGGAGGATCTGGACAGACTTGAACATTGGGCCCTATCTAACAAAATGAAATTCAATGGTGAAAAAATTAAGGTTCTACATTTAGGCAAGAAAAACCAAATGTACAGGTATAGTATAGGGGGTACCTTGCTCAATAGTAGTAACTGTGAGAGGAATCTTGGAGTCCTAATGGACAGTCACTTAAATATGAGCCAGCAGTGTGCTGCAGCTGCCAAAAAAGCCAACACAGTGCTAGGCTGCATTAACAGAGGGATAGACTCAAGATCAGGTGAAGTATTAATACCGCTTTACAATGCCTTGGTAAGGCCACACTTGGAATACTGCATCCAGTTTGGGTCACCAGGATGTAAAATAGATGTTGAGACTCTAGGGCTGTTTCTCAACCTTGACAATTTTAAGGCACGTGGACTTCAACTCCCAGAATTCCACAGCCAGCATTGCTGGCTTTGGAATTCTGGGAGTTGAAGTCCACGTGCCTTAAAATTGTCAAGGTTGAGAAACACTGCTCTAGGGCAGAGGTAGGCAACCTTGGCCCTTTAATAACTCGTGGACTTCAACTCCTAGAATTCCTGAGCCAACATGGGGGAACTATGGCCCCTTCATGACTTGTGGACTTCAACTCCCAGAATTCCTGAGCCAGCATGACTCAGCTTGGAAACCCCTCCATTTCTCCTCAGCATGGCTGGCTCAGGAATTCTGGGAGTTGAAGTCCACGAGTCATAAAAGAGCCAAGGTTGCCTACCCCTGCTCTAGAGTCTCCTGGCATTGCAAAGGAAATCCACCAGGGGGCACCCACTGCCAAGAGAAGGAAACACCAGGCGCTTCCCCATTGGGCCTCTAGAGGGCGAAGGTCACGGTCGGCTTTCCAGAGGCGGTTGCGAAGTGAGTGACATCACAAACGCCTGCCGCTCTAGGAAGCTGCACTCGCTTGCCTTTAACCCTTGGAGCTCCGCAAGAGGCGAAGAGGCTGCGGGAGCGTCTCGCGGGGGAAGAGTTCCAGACATGCCCCAGGTGAGGGTGGGGGCTCTTCCCGTGCAAAGAAGCGGGGGAGGGGGAGACCCGGGCCCCGGCCCTCCTCCGGGTCCAATCCCGGATCCCATGTTCCCAAGCCGCGCTCTCCATGCAGGGGGGGAAGTGGAGCTCCAGAGCAGCAGCAGAAGAAGAACCGGGGATCCCGGGAAGGCGGCGGGGATTGGGGGGGTGGGGGGCTTCCCGCTCCGTGTCCTGGGAAGAACCCGATTTGGGAGAGGCCCATCAGGAGAGGAGAGAAGCTGGGCGAAGCAAGATTGTGTGAGCCTGCCTGCGTGTCAGAGGGAGACTCGGCGGCCCAAAGGCCACCCAGAAGAAGGAAGGCATCCTCAGCCAAGGTCATTTCCTGGCATTTCATTGGATGGGAACAGAGCTTTCCGGGTTTGTTCACTTTTGAGGGGTTTGGCAGGTTGTGTGAACCTTGCTTGGAGGTAAATACAGATTTAGGTTTTTAAAAGAAAGTCCTTTCTTGTAAGGAAAAATAGCGCACCACGCTCACACAAACATACACACACGTATATGAACAAAACAGGAGCTCTCTGCTTAATGCCTGCAAGCCTATTCCTGTTTAGGAAAATACTTTCTTCCACTGTTGCTCAATGGTTAAATTCTCCACTTTCTAATTCTAGGAAATTATTTTCTTTTCCATCTCAGATACAGAAGCTGGAAGCCATTTGACCCTTTTGGTGTGTAAAATCATCTCTTGGTGGGGGGAGCTGATGCGACCATTCCGGTGGCTATAGGATCGGTCCTATAATTGAAAAGGCATTTGGAGATCCGCAACAACCGTTGGACAAATTTAGAGTTATGTTAGAGGACACAGACAGAATGGAGACGCAACTTTTAGCAAGTGAAAGAACTAGAAAAGGCTCTTCTGTTCAGTCTGGGAGCTGTGGGGAGATTTGGGCAAGAACTGGGAAGAAGATCCTCCAGGAGGAAACCATCATCTCTTCAAAAATTCAACCCTGGAACTTGAGGAGCCTCCAATACCAGGAAGCTGAGGGTCCCCGAGGACTTTGTGGCCGACTCCACGACTTTTGTCGGCGATGGTTGAAACCAGAAAACCACACCAAAGAGCAGATACTGGACCTGGTTGTTCTGGAGCAGCTCTTGGCCCTTCTGCCCCCAGAGATGGAGAGCTGGGTACAGGAATGTGGAGCAGAAACAAGCTGCCAAGCGGTGGCCTTGGCGGAAGGCTTCCTCCTGAGCCAGGCAGAGGAGCAGAAGGAGCAGGTCAAGTTGCAGGTGAGAGACCTTTGTCTCCGGACTCCAGAAGGGAATCAAGAATGGGTTTGAATTGTTCACCCCTCCCTCCCAGACTTCTCTAGCTTTCAGACTACTTGGAGGCATTTTACTAATTCTTTTTTTTAATCCTTTTTTATTTTATTCAAAAAAATATAAAATACAAATCACCAATTTTTTTGAAAAAAAAAAGACCTTAAAAAGAAAAAAATGCATTAAAAGACTAACACACATACACATATTGTCCTCCCTAGTTGAATGCTGATTAATATATTACAACAATATTGATATTTATATTTTTATTAACTCTTGTAGGACAGTGATGGCGAACCTATTAGAGACCGAGTGCCCAAACTGCAACCCAAAACCCACTTATGCATCGTCAGGTGCCTGGTGGGTGTGGTTGCGGTGGTAACAGCAGACAGGGTGGGACTAAAAAGTTCAATCAATTCCAACTTTGCAAGATCTTTTCCCGCAAGAAGTTGAAATTGACTGATTGAACCTTTTTTTGTGTGTATATGGAGGCAGAGGCCTAAAGTGAAAAGATTTTATAAAAGCCAGCTGAAGGCCTAGGACTGGGGCGACGGCGCACGTGCCCACAGAGAGGGCTCTGAGTGCCGCCTCTGGCACCTGTGCCATGGGTTCGCCACCACTGTTGTAGGACATTGTTCCATTCATTTCTCCCTCAGCCTGACTGATGGATATTGGAGCTTTGATATTATGTTCAAAGGACAAGAATCTACTTCATGTTGTTTGATGTCAGTTAATTCTTTTTTTCTCCTTCCTCCTATTTGAAGTCCATTGCTGTGGAGATTGGAGATCCTGAGGGATCATCAAATCCCCATCAGGAGCTGCTTTTCAGGAGGAACCCTGAGGAAGATCCAAATCAGGATACCTCAAAAGGTAATGGTCTCCCACTCCGCAGAGAGATCCCTGCTATCTTATCTTCTTTTTGTCTTCTCTTCTGTAGAATACCTACTACTATTTTATTAATTGTGCATTTCAATATTCTGTCTTCCTCACAGAGAAACATAAAATGAAATTTTCTGATTTTTCTGGTGGAGCTGAAACAGTGGTTGAACCTCCAACTGAAGTAAGTGCAGGAAAATTATTTATGAAATTTGTATTCTCCCTTTCCTTTGGGAAGTCACATTGGTGTACATAGCATTATCTCTTTCCATTATTCCCTTTTCTTTTGGCTTGGATGTTTTCTTGTTCTTGAGCATGGAAAGGAGAATAGAAGATTCAAGTTGACACCATAAGCCTTTTGCTGAAATGCTAGAAAGAATTCACCTCCCCCCCCCCATTTCCTTCTGGAAAAACAGAAAGGATTGGAGTCAGTGATAGATGGTGTTTCCAAGGCCCATTTGCAAGTCTCTTGGATCCTCAGAATCTTTGATGAGGGATGGATGGGTGGGTGGATTATTAGAGTGATTGATTGATTGATTGATCAATCGATAAATAGATGATAGATAGATTATATATAGAGGGGGGGTGAGGGGGAGGGGGGAGAGAGAACAGAACAGAACAAGAGTTGGAAGGACCTTGGAGTCCAACCCTCTGCTTAGGCAGGAAACCTTATACCATTTCAGACAAATGGGGGTCCAATCTCTTTAAAAACTTTAAAACTTCCAGTGTTTCCAGTATTCACAATTTCTGGAGGCAGGTTGTTCCACTGGTTAATTGTTCTAACTGTCAGGAAATTTCTTCTTAGTTCTAGGTTGCTTCTGAGACAGACAGACAGACAGACAGACAGCAAGTGGCATTACTTTCATTGTGTGCCAGAATCAATTAAGTTGATAAAACCTGCCAAATATATTTCTTCAGTCACTGCCTTTTGGCTCTGTCCTCTTTCCCAACACTACTTGAGAATCCTACCAAGCACAAACATTTAACCTAGTGCATATCTTTGCTGTGGGAATTTGTGAACAGTGGGACAGATCCTGTATATTCTCCTTGGCCTATTCTGTTTTTTTTCCTTATTCAGGAGCCTCTTGTATCCTTTGAGGAGGTAGCTGTGTATTTCTCCAAGGAGGAGTGGTCTCAGTTGGATCCTGACCAAAAAGCGCTCCATTCTGAAGTCATGCTGGAAAATCATAGTAACGTGGCCTCTCTGGGTAAGGGGTTTACTTCTCCCGAATAGAGTGTTCAGAAAGACATTCTGTAGTTAGATGCCAGCAGCTACCTCTTTATTTTTCTAGTTTTATTAAAAATATCAGAATAAAAACAATGCAAATACTGAAGCAGAAATAAAGAAGATAAAGTAATAAGTGAATAAGAAAAAAAATCAAGGAAGAAAGGAAAAAAAGAAAAAAACATGAAAAAGTAATAAAGTGGCTTCCAATCTTCTTAATAGTGGTTATAAATGCAATTATAGCCTTTGTCTCTTAAGGTTACATCATCATGTCCTTTCCAAAATTTATTCTTTGTAATCTTCAAACTGATTTTTTTTTTCTTTTTTCAGCAAAAAGTCCAGTAGGGGTTTTCAGTCACTAATAAATGTAGATATTGTCCTTTCTCAGATCAAAGAATTTGATTTAGCCATCCCTGTTAATTCTGTCATCTTCACCAACCCTTCCCCCATTGTAGTTTTTTCAGAGTCCTTCCATCTTTATGAATATAATAGTGTTGCTCCAGTTATCATAGTTAACACTCTTTATTAGTACTAACATAAAATGTTCTAATTTCAGTTCGATATTGATCTTTAAAATTCTTTACATCACTGTATTTCAATCCAAAATTTTCTAGCTTTCCGGATTATTATATAATGTACACTTCACTCCTTTCAACCCCATATTTTCCCATTTTTACATTTATATGTTATGACAAAACTTCTTTGCCCATTTTATCGTACATTTTTAACCTGTTTACAGGTTTTAGTAATTATATGTTCATCCTTTCTTCACAATTATAATTCAAATTCTCTCATGTTGTTGAATTCCATGTATGCTTTTATCTACCTTGAATTTTTCTGATAACAATATGAAAACAAATGACAACTCTATCCTTCTGCCGTTAATTGCTCTCTTGATTTCATTTTGTATTCTCCTTGTTCATGTTCTAATGGCTCTCAACATATTATCCATTAATCTTTGCTTCTCTTCTGTAATGTGTTTCTTGTGCCAAGAGCCATCAAAGTTTTTCGGACAGAGTCTAGTTTTGCATCTGTTCCATATTCTCAATATGGCATTTCTAACACTGTGTTTTTTGAAATCTAGATGAATCCTAACTTTATCATAACACAAATATCCATGACATCCAAACCTCAGGTCATGCACTTCTAATTCTAAAATTATCTTATGTCTCAGCAACTCCCAATCTTTCACCCAAACCAAACAGCAAGCTGCAAAGTATAGTTTCAGATTGGGTAGACCAATTCTCCTGTTTCGTCTGCATCTTGGAGAATTTGATATTCAATATGTAGTTTTTCCCTTCCCATACAAACCTGGACCTGTTGTTCTGCCATTACTGAAATGCTACATCGCTTTTCAAAAAAGGCATTGCTTGAAACACAAGTGTCATTCTAAGCCACAAATTCATTTTTGTCACAGGAATATTCTCAACAAGGACAATTTTAATTTCTCCTATCTTCACTTATGCTTTATTTCTTTCCAAGTCTTAACGCAATTATTTTGAAATAACATAGAGTTCCTATTGGTTATAGTAACAGTCAAATATTTTAGTTTGTTCTCAATCTTAATCCCAGTTTTTCCCATCAATTCTATTTGATTTTCTGTTTCATATTTTTGGTTAATATCTTCTTTTCATTGTTAAAGGTAAATCACTAAAATACAAGTTTTTTAATTTAATTAATTTTAATTAAATTTTAATTATTTTTAATTTAATAGTAGAAGGAAGGTAGTTTGGGTGGGAAGAAAAAGACTTGTTTCAAAACTGATTTAGTTCTTACAGATCTCTGCTGAAATTGACCCATCCAATAATTATTAGATTTTTTTCCTAATACCTCCTCAGATGTGCACTGTGATTCTTTCTTAACTCAAAGCTGACTCTGGGTGAAATTTAAATATGTATGGATAATTATAAACAAATATATAATATATTGGGATCTGCCAAAATAACATTAGGAAATTCATAAGACTTCTACAGTTTAATCTTTTCCCCTAACGTAGCATTTTCATTTCTCTTTTCCTTTGAAGGCAATAATGGGCAAGAGAATAAAGATACCCAGGAACCATTTCAAGTATTCAATGCTGGAGATGAAACACAGAAGTCTCAAGTTGAAATGGAAATACAAATTCATGAAAGAAACCAGAAAAATGATTGGAATCTGGAAAGCTTGTTTTCCATTGATGCTCAGATGCAAGACTTTCTTGTTCAGCCAGAAAAAATAAAGAAAAAATATACTGGGAAAAATGTAAACCTGTTGAAAGACAAGTTAGGTGTAAACGAACACTATTCAACAGAAACTGAAGCAGAAGATTATATATCCAGAGACAATTGGACTTTCACCCTTCATCATGAAAATGGATCCCTTACATCTTGTGAAAAGAACCATACAGAAGAGAAGCGATATAAATGCTTAGAATGTGGAAAGAGCTTCAGAAGAAGCAGTCAAGTTGCTTCCCATAACTGGATCCACACTGGGGAAAAGCCATATAAGTGCATGGAATGTGGAAAAAGTTTCAGTGAGAGCCGTTCACTTACATCTCATAAATGGATCCATACAGGGGAGAAGCCATATAAATGCAGACAGTGTGGAAAGGGCTTTGGTGAAAATGCATCCCTTGTGAAACATAAAAGGATTCACACAGGCGAGAAGCCATATAAATGTACGGAGTGTGGAAAGAGCTTTATTCAGAGCAGTCATCTGTCTTCCCATAAAAGGATCCACACAGGGGAGAAGCCATACAAATGCAGAGAGTGTGGAAAGGGCTTTACAAATAGCAGTCATCTTACTTCTCATAAAAGGATCCACACAGGAGAGAAGCCATACGAATGCAGAGAGTGCGGAAAGAACTTTACAAATAGCAGTCAACTTATTTCCCACAACTGGATCCACACAGGGGAGAAGCCATATAAATGTTTGGAGTGTGGAAAGAGCTTTACTAATAGAAGTCAACATACTTCTCATAAAAAGATCCACACAGGAGAAAAGCCATATAAATGTGTGAAGTGTGGAAAATCTTTTACTAATAGCAGTCAACTAACTTCCCATAACTGGATCCACACAGGGGAGAAGCCATATAAGTGTCTTGAATGTGGAAAAGGCTTCTGTCGAAGGAGTTCCTTTACTTCTCATAAAAGGATCCACACAGGGGAGAAGCCATATACGTGCAGAGAGTGTGGAAAGGGCTTTACTAATAGCAGTCATCTTACTTCCCATAAAAGGATCCATACAGGGGAGAAGCCGTATAAATGTATGGAGTGTGGAAAGAGCTTCTGTGAAAATGGGTCTCTTATGAGACACAAAAGGATCCATACAGGAGAAAAGCCGTATAAATGCATAGAGTGTGGAAAGGGTTTCTGTGAAAATGGGTCTCTTATGAGACATAAAAGGATCCACACAGGAGAGAAGCCATATAAATGCATAGAGTGTGGAAAGGGTTTCTGTGAAAATGGGTCCCTTATGAGACATAGAAGGATCCACACAGGGGAAAAACCATATAAATGTGTGGAATGTGAAAAGGGATTCAGCCAACAGAGTAAACTTATTTCCCATAAAAGAATCCACACAGGGGAGAAGCCATATAAATGCTTGGAGTGTGGAAAGATTTTTATTCAGAGCAGTCACCTTGCTTCTCATAAAAGGATCCACACAGGAGAGAAACCATATAAATGCAGAGAATGTGGAAAGAGTTTTATTCATAGTGGTTCTCTTACATTCCATAAAAGGATCCATTTGGGGGAAAAGCCGTATAAATGTGGGGAATGTGGAAAAGGCTTCTGTGAAAATGCATCCCTTATGAAACATAAAAGGATCCACACAGGGGAGAAGCCATTTAAATGTGTGGAGTGTGGAAAGGGCTTCTGTGAAAATGGGTCCCTATTGAGACATAAAAGGATTCACACAGGGGAGAAACCATATAAATGCAGAGATTGTGGAAAGAGCTTCCGTCACAGTGGTTCCCTTACTTTCCATAAAAGGATCCATACTGGGGAGAAACCATATAAATGTTCTGAATGTGGAAAGAGCTTCAGGCGGAGCAATGACTTAATTTGCCATACACAGATCCATTTGAATGAGAAAATTCAGATTTAGTGTTAAATCTATGGACATTCCTCTACTTATGAACTTTTGAGTTACAAATTTTTAGTGGTACAAACAAACCTGCAGTTCCAACCTAAAAGGTGCCGGATGGCTGGAGAAGGTGAGAAAGGGGTGATAGTAACCTTCAAAAATTATCTGTCTTTGCCACATGTTCAGATGACCATGTGCCAGTTTTGGATATCCTATGAAATATACAAGGCCACACTTGGAATACTGCATTGAGTTTTGGTCACTATGATATAAAAAAAGATGTCAAGACTCTAGAAAGAGCACAGAGAAGAGCAACAAAGATGATTAGGGGACTGGAGGCTAAAACATAAGTAACGGTTGATGGAATTGGGTATGTCCAATTTAATGAAGAGAAGGACGAGGGATGACATGATAGCAGTCTTCCAATATCTCGGGCTGCTACAAAGAAGAGGGAGTCAAGCTATTCTCCAAAGCACCTGAAGGCACAACAAGAAGCAATGGATGGAAAGAGAGAGAAGCAACCTGGAACTAAGGGAAAAATTTCCTAAAAGAACAATTAACTAGTGGAACAACCTGCTTCCAGAAGCAATGAATACTCCCAACACTGGAAGTTTTTAAGAAAAGACTGGACAGCCATTTGTCTGAAATGATATAGTGTTTCCTGCCTGAGCAGGGGGTCGAACTAGATTACCTCCAAGGTCCCTTCTAACTTTATATTATTATTATCAAGTATATTGATGCAGCCTGGCATCTGGTCACTTCTGAGAATATGAATAGGATGTGGAAACGTCTGTGCCCTCAGTTTGTTCATGACTTTGAAAGGTTTGAATGGGGGACGGAGTCACAGCAACTTAATTGCCTTCAATAAGGAGCTTCATCGTGACCTGGAGGTCTTTAAGAAATTGCTAGCTACACAAATGGAGTATCTATTCAGCAACAAACTCATGGAATTGCAAAACCAGTGAAAACGAGAAAGTGATCAAACCACTGGAGATCCCAGACTAAGTTGATGGCAGAGGAATTCAGCTTGATCAAGAAAGCACTGTCATGGTTTTTGTGATGCAGGTCTTTTGAGCATTTCACCAAGGTGTCTGTAGCTATCCAGTGGTGCAGTGTAGTACTACAGTGTCTATGGGGGAAAAAAAAGATCAAGGCGTCAAAAGTTCACTGGACCATTACTTTAAGAAGATGGATAAATGTGCCATTTTGACTCTGACAGAGGATCTTATATCGTTGTAAGGTTTTACCATAATCTACTGCTTAGGTAAGGGAAGAACTGGACTGTAAATGTTTTTTATGTTTGTTTGGACTTATAAAAAAACAGACTTAAGAACAGCTTCTCGGAACATAATCTGTTCATAAATAGAGAAATATCTATGCATTTTCTATTGACATATACTAAACTAGGAAAGAAAGATATTTTTGAGTCTGATCTTCAAAAGTGGCAGCCACAGAAAGATGAATTTATGAATGAAAATAAAAAGAATGGGCACATGCTGTTTTAATTATGAATACGGGTCGTCTTCAACTTATGACCGCAATTGAGCCCAAAATTTTGTTGCTAAGTGAGACACCTAAGTGAATTTTACCCCATTGTATGACCTTTCTTGCCATATTTGTTAAGTGAATTGCTGCGGTTGTTAAGTTACAAACACCGTTGTTAGGTGAATCTGCCTTCCTATTGACTTTTGTCAGGAGGTTGCAAAAGGATGATCCTAGGATACTGCAACTGTCATAAATATGAGTCAGTTGCCAAGCATCTGAATTTTGATCACATGACCAGGGGGATGCTGCAATGGTGGTAAGTGTGAAAAATGGTCAGAAGGCATTGTCATCTGAAGGTTGTGAGGAAAACAAATTTTTATGAGTGGGACTTGTTAGTAAATGAAACATAGAAAGCCCGTTCTCTATAAGTCCTATTGGCATTTATATGGCAGCATAACTCATGTTTTTCATTAAGACAATTATTATTTATTGAAGAAAGTACAGTAGAGCGAAGACTTGAGGTTTGTTAATTATGAATATTTATGCTTAAATCATCTGTTACTTATGCATATGCATGACTCTATCATTTTCTCATCCCTTCTGAAATTTTCTAAATATAGTGCATCCTTTTGCCTGCAGGTATGCCACTATTTTCCAGAAGGAATTCCTCCAATGTGCACTATTATCAGTAATTACTGCAATGATTCTTGATTATTTGCTTTGGGTCCTGTGTATCAATTCCACATCAGTAACTGAATTATTTTTTTTCTTAAATTCATGTTTATTGCAGGTTCTAGTTAGAGGTCACTTCCAAGAAAATGGCCACTTTAAGTATCTTAGATTGAGAGCCATGCAATTTTATGAAAGATGTTGCCTTTATTGTGTTTTTACATGTGAATTTCCTTGTTCCTTAACAAGGCTCACTACAGTATTTACTGTTAATTATTTGCTCTTCCCACTTGATCCTGGTTCTAAGAAGGATACGAACAGGCAGTCATTTAACAGGTGCTGCCTCCCCAGGCAATAGAAGGAGCTGCATCTCCCTGATGCAGCTGTTCAAAACAAAGCTTTACTATGTTTATTCCATTATAGTAGACAAGCAGATAGAAATTCAACTGACCCTTCCCATAATTTAAACTTTCCTTCTTTTGCCTAGTCATTTTATAATTGTTTTCCCCTTCCTCAATACATTCAGTTTATCAAACGACTGTATACTTCTTTGTTCTAACAAGTTGGCAAAGGTACAGGAGAAGGTTTCTGTGGTCTGTAGGGATATTACAATCCAAAGGGAACTCAAGTTCCATCAAAATATACAGAGAAATGGAATGTGATAAGATAGTCCTTGATTTATGACTGTCATTGAGCCTGGAATGATGGTTGTACATCATTACATTTTAGTCATGTCATCATATGCCCAAACTCTTGTGGGGTGGTTGTTTTTTTGGGGGGGGGCACTTGTCATTAAGCAAAGAGTAATCATTAAATGAATCCATTTTAGCAGCCAACTGGTAGAAACTAGCAAAAACATCAAAAATCACAATTATGTGACCATGGAATGCTACAAAAGGCCATAAGGTGAGCTGATTGCCAAGTGCCCAGAATGTGGTCGCATGATTTTGGGGAGGCAGCCATTGTAACTGGATTGTGGTAGCTTCTGGGGTTCCAAAGTTCACTAAACAACCAGTCCTAAGTCTAGGATTACCTGTATTGAACTGCCTATTGAATAATGGTGATACTAAATTAAAAGTGACAACTAAGACTTGTGCTTTAACTTTCTTTCCTTCCTTCCTTGTGAAAATGAGATTTTGATTTTTGCTAAGAGAGAGATTCCAAAGCAAAAATGAGGTTCTGTGGAGATAAAGACATGAACTGGCCTCACAGTGATGTAACTGGGCCAATAATTAACAAGAGCAGATTCCCCAATCAGTTGAAGGAGTTCTGTCTGATTAATATATACCTGGTGTGTCTCAATAAGACAAAACTTGATCATTATTCCTTTCTCTATAGCAGGAATTTGCAGGCAGAGATTCATTCAATCCTCTATCCCATTCAATCCTCTATCATGTTGCAACGTATTACAACTTTTCCCCCATTGCTGGAGTTGGGGTGTGCACGGTTTTGGCATGATGCATCTGGCTCGTGGGGTGGCAGTTTGACACCCCTGCTCTATCCCCTTTGTAGATTCATTTTCTTCCTCTGCTTATTCTTGTTACCATCTGCTTTTCCAGCCTCATTTGTTGATGGTGATATTATCCATTCAGTTGTTGGTGTTTCTATGGGCCAGGTCTCTCCATATCTTCCAATCTTGCACTTTTTTTTGGAGTTGTTTTATACTCTGGGTGATGTCAGTATTGATGTTCAGCCACTGTCGTCTTTGGTGGCCTGGTTTTCTTACTGTTAACTCTTCCAAACATAATTGCTTTCTCCAGTGAAATCCCCCAAATGTTATTGGCAAAATAAGTGGGGGAAGGAGCAAGGGGCTGAGTGGGAGTGTAGGGAAGAATCAAGGTGGATGCATGGGAAATGTGGTGTAGGTGTGTAGGGATACGCAAGAAATGTTCTGTTCAGGGAGTGGAAGGGTGCACAAATGGCACCACACTGAGGGGAGGGTATGCTGGTTGGCCTGCTCATGATTTGCCTGTGACTCACAACTTCCTGCAGGATTCTCCACTGACTTTGGTTGTGGGAACCCGGCACAAAGTTGCCACACTTTAGGACCATTAGATTCAGTTAACAATGGCAACCAGGACTGCCAGAACTGCTGTTGCTAAAAGATGCAGTAATGTCTAGAGACCACATAAAGATGGAAATTTTGGTCCTAATTGCTGTTGCAAATGGAGGACTGCCTGTAATAGATATAGTTCGTAATACCTATGTTATTATTTCAGATAACTCTTATTGGTCTTTTACTGATTAACATGAAGAGATACGTATTTAGAGATGGACTTATTGGGAATAAGGTGAGGTATGGAATGAAGAAGTTTAGCTGAATTTTAAAAGTGATAAGTCATTAATATTGATTATACATGCTGGAGACTAAAAGAAAAAAAATTGTTTTTGTATTTTATTCTGCAGTTTTATTTTTAACATACTTCTGTACAATATACTTTGTATAATATAATCTTCAATAAAATTACTGGAAAAAAGCTAATAATAAAGCCTAAAATTCTGTATAACAGAAACACACAAGGACTTGACAGTTCAGTGCCATGGCAATCCTAATACCAATTTAGAAAAAGTAGGATTATCTTCTACAAAACACTGCTGAATACTATTTCCTGGCTCTTCCTTCCCGCCCTCTAAGCAGGGATGTAACCTTCTCCAGAAACATTCTTAGAAATAGAATGGTGAAGATGGCTTTAAAGTTGAAAAAAAAGTTATATTGAGAAAATTTCCTGAACTGGGGGGGGCTCCTCCTTGCTGTGCCCCATTTAAATGCTCTCTTTCTCTGCATGAATGCCTGCATTGCACACAGAATTCAAATAAGAGAGTTGGAAGGGACCTTGTAGGT